CACTATATACTACATCCTGATGCGCTTTGAGGACATTGGGCTCGTAACTAGGCCACACTTGCTCCGATCTGCCCCAAACTCGACATGCCGGATCACAGTCCCGCCGTGCGCGAAGGCCAACAAGCGTAGGGCGAGGACCTGTCCATCGCCGTTTGCGGCTTTAGTTGAGTTTTATTTCTATAATCGCTTTAGAAATCCCCTTCTACTCCGTTTGCAGGATATTCTTTGCAGCTTCAAATCACTGCTGCTGCTGCTGATTTGACCACATTGTCTTTTCCTTTCTCCCTGATATCACAGTGATTCATTACGAAACAGCTGCACCAAAGTGATGGTGCTGCATTATTCACTACAGACGTCTGATTTTGCTCATGTGTTAACCACAGTGGACACCGGTTAACGTTTGATGCTTCACATGTGACCTATGAACTGAGACAGCAGAAATGTCTCATCATCATCATACCGCCGTCGACTCAGATAACACGACATAGTTTCAGGAGAAAAACCCTACAGAAGGGACGGCACATGCTTAAAAGATGAGTGGAGTGGATCTGATGATAATCTTCTTTTTAAAAATTATAAAACTAAGGTTAAGATTTTGAAAAATAAAAATATATATTTAGGATACGCTTGCTAGATTTTTCCCAGCTCTTCCAGTAACAAAATGTCATTTTTTAATAAAATATCTCAGCAACTTAAATTTATTTTCTCTATAAATACGAAGTCAGGGCCGTTTGTGCTACTTTTTGTTTTGCTTTTTTTTTAGAGACGTTTTATGTGATGAGTTTTATTTATCTTAATAAATTCACGTTTGCCTCAGGACACGTTTCTTTATTGAATATATCTGGATTTTGATCAGACAAAATGTGATATCGGAAGATGTCTTTCTGGCCTCAAGAAACTGTTAAACTTCACTATTTTCTATTTTTCAAGAAAACAATGTGCAGATTGATAGATAATGAATAATCACTAGTTGTAGCCCTGCTTATACCTGCATACCTGACTGTAGTTTCTATCATAAATATCATTATAGGGTCCATCCATCCATCATCTATCCACTGCTTAATCCTCACTAGGGTCGTGGGGAGCTGGAGTCTATCCCAGCTGACTCAGGGTGAAGGCAGGGGACACCCTGGACAGGTCACCAGTCTATCACAGGGCCACACTTAGAGACAGACAACCAAGCACACTCACATTCACACCTACAAACAATTTAGAATCACCAATTAACCTCAACATGTTTTTAGACTGTGTGGGAGGAAGCTGGAGAACCTGGAGAGAACCCACGCTGCACGGGGAGAACATGCAAACTCCACGCAGAAAGATTCTGGGTGTCCTCACTGGGACACGAACCAGCGTCGTTCTAGCTGCAAGGCGACGGTGCTAACCACCGCTCCACCTTGCAGCCCCATTATAGGCTCTTATTTTGAAATTAGTCAGGTCAATTTGTACAATAATGATATTGTAAGGCCTAAACCTTAACATTTACATTAGTCAAGCATATTTGTACAATAAAAAGAATTCCATGGTTTTAATCTTTACATTTAAATCATTCAGGTATATTTGTATTACACATAATGTTGTAGAGACTTGGCTTCAATGTTTAAATTACCCAGCATGCAATATAATATATATATAATGACTTGACATGTGTCCTCTGCCTGTTTGCATTGTTACTCAAAAACTCCTGCTCATTTGAATGTAAAATATATTAAAATACTGTTTTCATGTCACTTCCTTTTTCCTTTATGGTTGTAACATGATGGGGGCTCATCTAAGATAGGAACCGCCCCTCCCTCGTGGCTGATTGGACCCCTGACTCGTCCCCTGATCCAATCAAACTGCACCACACCTGGTTCAACATTACACCTGGTCCTGGCTGTGAGTTGGCGTCGGCAGCACTCATCTGTGCGTCTCCTTGTTTTTGTATATTCTGTGCCTGCTTGTGGTCGTCGTGTTCCGCAGGTACGTACGACTGACTGCGCCTATTAAAGAGTTTTGTATTAATTTGTGTATTTAAATCATTAAGCAGCCTGGAGCCTGAGCCAGACCGAGGTATCCACCACACCCATTCTCTTGAATTTCTGTTTGCTACACCCAGGCTTAGAATTTGAATTGAATGTTTACTTGGAAAGTCTTGGCACTGTTTGCTCTTTTAATTGATTTCTTTGGCTGATTTCACAACACCCACACACCTCATTTGTTAATTATATTTAAGGAGTAAACAACTGCACCCTGGGACACAACACTGCACCAGAACAAAAGTTTTCAAGTAGAAAAGAATTTAATCGGACACTTGTTCAGACTTCAGGCCTTGCAGGGGCATGCTTTTTTTTATTATTTAAGGGGGAGAATAAAAATAACAACAGAGAACAGGAAAGGTGATCATAAAGATGGAGCTTAATTCAAAACAACATCGTGACAGTTTGTCGAAGGGAGCTTAGGAGAAAGTTCGTGACTTGACACACACATTTCAAAACGTGGAAAATACCGATCAGTCGGTGAAAGATCTGCCGATGAAGTCTCGGGTTTTCTCTAAAACTTGACAAGTGATGAGACGACACACAATGAGAAATAAAAGGTTTTATAATCAGTCACCACCTCCACTTTGCGTGGAAATGCAAATATGTACCAGGTAAAGTACCTGACCCTCATGAAGGTTAAACCGCAACTGAAAAAGAAAAACAAGCTCTCTGTTTGAGACCAGTTCATTAGAATTAAAAAGAAAAAAAAGAAAGCATGATGTGAATGTAAATGCAAACATCTCAACATAATTTGAAAAGTCTGTACGAGTTTGAATCTTGTCTGTTGTTCTTTTAAACTGATCACATTTCAGCAATATTCGCCAGGACATCCTGGGGAACTTGGAAGATGTGCATCATTCATACATTACAGATAAATTAAAGGACAGGGTGACGTGTGTGAGTTTTTTTTGTTACTCAACTTGTACTTAGTGTTCTATTTGAAACAATGGTGTACAATGTGTTCTTTGAAATCAAACTGCCAATTTACTAAATGTGTTTATTAGCATTACAGCCTACCAATATTAAAAAAAAACAAAAGTGTGTGAATTAAATAATCAAATCTGTGCCGTATTAAAATAATGCCTTCAACACCAATTTGGGGATTTAAAGTGTACAAATAAGTGGTGTAACATTGCTTGTGGAGCAGTGTGTCCAATGTGCACATTATTTAATAGAAAACAAGACATCCCAGAACAAACAGACTCAAAGCGGTGGTGAGGTGATAAACTGGAAATTTGGAGGACTAGTTCAGTAACAGTGAACTGAAACAGTGAACTATGTTGGGATTGTAGGAAAGTTCTGCTCGCAAAGAAAACAACCCTTCTGTCAATTCTAGGGGAAAAAAATAAAATGTGTTTTTCAATTTTCATAAAGTCTAACTGACCTCCATTTGTTCCTCATGAGTCAGAGAATGATTGGACAAAACTGAAGGGAGCACCGTTGTGCTGCTAATGAAGGAAAAGGGTTTAAATACATTTTTCTACATCATATAGGTCCAATAACAATTAGCTACACAAACAACAGGTTCTGTTCACAGTCATGCGTCACGCTAACTGCTCCTCAACAAATCAACTATATTAAATCGATAATTCTACATGTGGGGGGCACAAAAACAAAGGGGACACATTAAAACCAAGGCAGGCTACATTAAATGCAGCTCAATGTTTTTTTTTTTTTCTTCCCCCCCTCTTTTGGTTTTAAACTGTTTGATAATTCTTGAAAAATCAGGGTTCATTTAAAGGTTTATACTCAAGACATCAATTGGATATATCCATGAATAAGAAAAAACACTTTTTAAAGGATTCTCAGTTACTGCACTTTGCCCCTGATGAGGAGGACACGACAACCGACATCACAAGATGCCGCCTCTGCAGAACATTTACACACATTTACACGTCAGGTCCAGGAGTCCTGCGTCCGACCCGTCCAGACGCAACGTCACGGATAACAAACAGACAACAACCATCTCTCGGGGAACAGTTTTGGACATGTGTCTTGTGCATTTAGGAGTCGGCTCTACACTAGCTCTATCTGTGGTAACATTGCATATCTCTCTCTGTCGGCAGCGGCAGCAGCAGCAGCACAGAGTCTGCGTGATTTTTCTCTTCTTTGTTGGTGCAACAGCGCTCTCTTCTGTCTGAACCTGAGTCTCCTTGACGGCTGAAGACACCCGATCGCTGCTTTAGGTCACAACACCGTGAGTCAAGCAAAAACCACTGACTGTAACCACACTGTACATATACATGGAGTGTATATATATTCATACCACAGAGGAAAACAGATCAAACTTTCCTCACCCCGCTCCCTCCCGCTCTGAGTGTTTCCCAACCTGACTCATGGTTTTCCATTGACGCTGCCGGCAGACGAGGAGTTCTTGTTGCGGCTCAGCCAGGACGGCAGGAGGCTGCGGGGCCTCAGCGGCCGGGCGGGGGCCTGCGCGAGGCGGACCATGCGCGGCGAACGCCACACCTTGATGGTGGAGTCGTCGCTGGCCGACAGCAGCAGCTCCTGGTCGGCGGGGCTGAACGCCACCGAGTTCACCACGTCGTCGTGGGCCAGTCGCGCCAGGCAGATGTTGTAGTGACGGTCCCAGATGTAGCCGTGCTTGTCTTCTGCCCCGCTGCAGGTGGGAGAGGAGTGGAAAAGTTAGGGAAGGAGTTCATTTCAACACTGTGCACGTTCATTGTTGAATTATCTGTCAATAACTTTCTCAATGATTTGGCCCACGGAACTATTTTTTTTTTTTTTAAAATGGCGACATTTCTAGAGCAAAAACTGATGTCTTGCTGATCAACAGCCCAAAGATATTTCCTTTACTATCAAATCAATCAAAGCAAAGCAGAAATTTTGCGTTTCAGAAATGGTTCTACAAACAAAAGTTTACATCCAGTTGTAAAGTAAGAGAAGTCAGCAGCTGTAGGCAGTTGTAATCACTCAAAAGAGGTTCAGAGGCCATGACACGAAGAAAATCTGATTAACACAGCTTTCTACATCACCATAACCGATATTTAATAAATCAATGAAAGAATCTAAATCATCATTGTTTTTTGAGACAAAGCAAAACACGGCAGTTTCAAGGATTTCATCTTAGAATAAGACTCATTGAAAACTGTTATAATAATAAACGGTCTTCATAAGTTTATGTAAATTTTTCATTTTTGGAAAAGGATTTTATATTTCAAGCAAAAATGTCTATCTTTATATATATTCATAATTTGTGCTATAAAACTTTCAGGCATATTAGAGCTGGTTCGAGCAGAAATTGTTCTAGAATGTGTTGATTTCTGTTAGAACATCTGAAGGTCATCAGGCCTATTTTTAGTATTCTAAACAATATTCAATCTAACACCAGGTGTTGTTTATTACCAACTATTTATATTCCACCACAGTGAAATACGATCATGAATGAAGGCTTGATATTGTCATGCGAAGCTTCACATACGCGCTGATTTAAGTTGGTCTTTTGTCTGGTCGGTCTATTATGTTCGTAGTCTTACATTCAAACACTTGGTTCTTACAAATCTTACAGGTGCTTTAGGTTCTTTTCCAAAACCCTGTAAATCATTATTAGGTACTTCTCAAGACACCAGCAGTCAGCTGTTTTGACTCATTTGGACATTTTCCAGTTTTCACTGTCATTCAACAGCTAAAAATCCCCCAAAACTCTGAAACAGCAGCATTACTCCGAGTAAACGATACCACCGACCAGGCAAGTGTTTTATTTTTACATATATATGTATATAAAGTAGGTGAATAATATACAGGATATTTTAGCAGGTGGATCAGTTTTAAACTGAAAGTAGTTTTGGGTGGAATATCTTCAGAAATGTGTTCTGAACACTGAACAGATTCATCGTTCCTCGTTGTCTGAAAGAATCATGTAATTTTTATCTCCTTGTTTTTGTTTTTCTCACATTTATGACTAAGCAGGTCCTGAGCATGAAGTTAGAAAACCCCTAAATGACACCTCAGTGTCTGAAAGTGCCATCTCCAGTCACACTAACTACAGCTTAGCACTGTGTTAGATTTATGTGCCCACAGCAACACTGCTGCGAAAAATGAACGTCATATGTTCAAAAACGAGAATCGTGATGCTTATTTCTACAAAATATGCCAGTATGGAAACAGAAATTTCACTACGTCATGGGCAGTCAAATAGTGAACAGATCTACTACCACTGCGGTATCAGTTCCATTTTCATAGATGACCACCAAATACCAAACGCGGGAAAATGCAAAGTGAAAGCTGCGTCTGAGAGGGAAAATATTGTTTGGAAAAAGAACAAACCTGGCAACAAAGTCTCTGCTGACATCGAGGAAGATGAAGAAGCACTCATCGTTAGGCGTGAAGGCTCGGTGAGCACGTAGACTTCTTCTCTCCTCTCTCAAACTCTTCAGGTCGATGACGTGCAGATCTATCTCCTCGGCAATCGGAGGCGGAGACATGGGGTCGGAGATCACGCATCCGGCCGGCCAAGCTCGACTATTCACATACAGGTATCTGAAAAACGGCAGAAGTGAAGTTTGTCATAACTTATCTGCAGAGTTGACACATGATGTTACATCAGTTCACAGACACTGATGTCTGAGTTAAGGTCTGTTTACAAGACTTTTAGGGTTCTGAAAATATAGCAAAAACTAGAGCTGAATCAATCCTAGAGTTTAGCTATTTTATATATTATCTGATAATATTTACATATACACACATGTATGTATGTTAAGCTCTCTGCAGACATAACATTTACGTATGTACCATTTCTAACTTCATCAGTCTGGTAAAGTGACTGCATTCTGTCACTCAGACATAAGCCACATTTCCGTTGATTCCCTTCACGGCTTTATTCACACATACTCACCACAGTGGCAGAGACGGCCACGGTGACATTTGTCATGAATGCAACGCCAGATTGGACGGTACATCAAGTGATCTCTAATACCCAGTAATGCACCAATAAACAAAAGACTAAATCTAAACTTACACCAGGCTTATCAAATTGATCAAATAACTAACTGCCTCGTTTATTTATGACTTTCTGAATCGCCAAAAATTCTGTCTCGGTGTGGTGATATTCTAACTACTACTTTAAAAGCAGTAATATAAAAATATCACAACAGCTGTGATGAAGCTCAGAACTCCACCCCATTCAGACACAATCGCATACGTGTGCCTTGTTGTGTTTACCTGTGGTCTGGTGAAAGGCCCATACCGATGATGTGGCCGTGGATGTCAATAACATGGTCCAGGGAATCGAAAAACTCATCCGAACTCCGCTCTTCCCCAAGTACAGGACCAGAAGTGGTCATTTGGTCGGGCTTGATTCGCTTAATGCCTAGAAAACAAGTGCAACGACAACATTTTAAGGATGTGCTGCAGTGTGTTATATCTGCAAGCTTTAGTTTCATTGCAGCACTTTGTAAACAATCGTACCTATCTGGTGAGGAGAGTATGTAAGGCTGCCGGTGGTGAAGAGTAAATAAGTTTTGTCCTCTCCCTCGTTGGGCTCAGAAGGCTCTATGAGGCCGGAGTCAGGGGCCTTTGTGTGGGCTCTGCCCATCATCTGAGCCACCTGGGTCTCAATCTCCAGCTCCGTCTGACCCACATTTTTACAACTCTGAGTGGAAGAAAGAAAAAGCACAAAAAAAGTAGAATGAAGAATAAGATTACCTTAAAAACACTGAGCAAAATGCCGGAGTTTCAAACCCATCTTGCCTGTAAAACGTGTTCCAGGCCTGAGATGGTGGGTTGAGGGAGGCGGGCAGACGTTAGGCTGCGACTCTTGGCTTCCCTCTGACACTCCTCGTCCTCCTCCTCCTCTTCCTCCTCCTCCTCTTCACTGCCGGAGGTTCCCAGGTCAAAGAGGAGAGGCTGGTGGTGGTGCTGCTGCTGTCCTTTCTGCCTCCGAGTCTGAGACTGCGCCTCGTAGTCCAGCAGCAAGTCCGGGTTGTCGTGGCGACGACAGTGGGCCACCATCACTGTGCGAATGGTGCTGGCGTTAATGTTCTGGATCTTGAAAAGGCGCTTGACCACGTTGACGTTCTCCGATTCAATATCCTGTCGGAGAAAAGGGAAGAGAAGAGAGGAGACATTGTTGTGTATTGAAAATGTGTTGTGTCCTGTTTCACACTACATTATTCCCCCACTGCACTCTGTTCAGCATTTTGAATGACGTGTCCAGCTGGGCCTCACCTGGAAGGCTTTATTGAGCCAAAGCACAGAGCAGGACGTCATGTTGCCGATCCAGTGTAGGTTCCCAGAGATCAGATGGGTCTCATTCAGCCAGCAGCCAAACACATCATATGGCTTGTTTCTAACCCGTGACAACAGCGTGTAATTTTCTGTAGTTGCGCATCAAATGAGGAAAGTCAGAGCCATGGAAACACACATTAATGAAGAAATATACAGAAACTCTTTGTTGGGGAAGTTGCTTTGAATACTGCAGTGAGACTCAGAATTACAATTAAACAAAAGTGTATGTTTTCATTTAATACAGACCATCTAACGGACTTCTGGAAAACAATGTAGTCACTTCTGGTGCATGTTTTGCTCAATGTCAGCAACCAAAATAGATGATGATCATTCTTGAATATAACCTATTGTTCACATTTACCTGCATCAGCCTTGTTTGTGCACAACTGTGTAACCTTGAACCAAATTAAAATCCTGCTGCATTTACCTGTAACGCCTGCAGTGTGGCACAAGAGACTCCTAACTAATGTGAAACCTAAAAATAACTGAACTTGGAGAGACAACAACAGGAAACGATTACACTTTTTTTTTTTTGTTCCTACCCAGACTAAAAACAGCGATTTCCCCAGAAGACGAGTGCGGGCCCAGGTAGACGCCAGACACAAGCAGCAGGCTGTCGTCAGCGTTGAACTGGGAGAACTGGGTGTAGCCCCAGTTAAACTGCCGCATGCTGGAGCTGTGCACCAGCGAGATATTACCATCTGGGCGCTCAGTGTCCCACAGCTGTACACAAGAAGGAGCAGAAGGACAGTTTTGGAAATAAGTAAGCAGATGATGAGGAAGATGGCAGCTGTTGGTAATAATAGGAACTTTATACTGAAATGATCTGGAAGAAAAATAATATTAACGAACAAGCAGGACTCTATAAGGACTTAATAAAAATGCCCCCAAGACTCTACTATGCATGCTTTAATTTCACCCTATTTTTGTAGCTAGTTTTTGCCAAATTGTTGACTGTTATTAATGTTTTTATCTACCCTAACCCCGCCTAGTGCTGCTGCTTCCCCAGATACACTCAACCACCAAAGCAAGCTCTAACATTTTAAACCAAAAATATAACCAAAATAAGATATATTACAAAGGGTAAAACACCTAATAGATGTGTAAAAACACAGTAAATAAGAATAGAAATTGTCAAAAAGAAAACTATTGCTTTGGCCCTGAAATATGTGCTTTAAAGCAGGTGCAGCAACCCAAAGGTAAAGTAAGGCTGTACTGTTTGGTAAGGGCCTCAACACTGAACACACTCACCTGTCACACAGATACTAATGAAAGCAACCTCAATCCTTTTCTGATGTTTACCTTAACAGTGCAGTCTTTGGAGCAGGAGGAGAACCTGTGGCCCCTATGAGAGAAAGCCAGGTGGAGGACCTGGTCGCTGTGCTCTCTCAGAGTCTGCACCTCCACACATGGGATACAGTCGAACAGACGTTTGAACTCCCTGTACCACGACACAGCCGCTGCACACACACAAGCAAGATGTGGAATTAGTGTTTCTGTGAGGACTAATTGCGGAGTTGAATTCAAGCACTAACACGTATACGACGACAAACATGAACCTGGGTGTCGGGGGACGCAGCGTGGTATGCGGTAGTAGCTGTAGAACAGCTCGCGCCACAGGAACTCATCTCTGGAGACAGCAAGCCATTGTCTGCAGGTCAGACCGGCTCTCAGCACAGCATCGTGGGGCAGACGCAGGAAGATCTCCAACACCAGGCTGTCTGGCAGAGCTGGGCCCCACTCCATCCTAACATCCTGAGTGACACATACACACCTTAAGTAGAGTGCTGGGAAAAAGCTGTAAAGAATGCTTTCAAGAACAACGTCATTTTTTGTTTCCAAGTAAGGTAGGTTGTTCCAGACTGTCTGTCTCAGTTGCTTCTCTCACTCCCTGTTCCTGTTGTTGCTGAACGTAGATTCTGGTTGTGTGTTACAAAATGAGCCAATCAGGTGGTAATGTATGGAAACATACAGAATAGTAGCATAAGCTGACAATGAAAATACAAAAACCTTACTCTCATCATTATTGGAATATAGCTACATAGCATATTTTTGGCATCTGAAAATGTTCTGTTGATAGCAAATGCTGGTTTCCTGTGTAGGAGTATTCAAGCTGGCGAACAGTTTGTTACACTGTATAGTGACGGTTCAAGGTTAACCAGAGCCTCCACTAGAGGGGACTGTTATGTTACATTTCCATTGACAACATTTGGGCAAAACTGCTTTTCACTTCAGCCAGCTTGGACGTGGAATTCCCTACTTGACTATGACAAAAGTACAATACTTTTAAACATCCATCCATGATCTATACACTGCTTAATCCTCACTAGGGTCGTGGGGGGCTGGAGTCTATCCCAGCTGGACTCAGGGTGAAGGCAGGGGACACCCTGGACAGGTCACCAGTCTATCACAGGGCTACACTTAGAGACAGACAACCAAGCACACTCACAGTCACAGCTACGGACAATTTAGAATCACCAATTAACCTCAACATGTTTTAGGACTGTGTGGGAGGAAGCCGGAGAACCTGGAGAGAACCCACGCTGCACGGGGAGAACATGCAAACTCCATGCAGACATGAAGTGGTGACCTTCTTGCTGCGAGGCAACAGTGCTACCAACTGCGCCACCCTGCAGCCCCACTTTTTTAATGGCTGACAGATACTCCTGCTTGAAATAACTCAGTTAAGAGACACTGGATGTAGCAGCAGTGGTGCTTAGCGTCTGGTCATTCAGTCCTGATAAACAGTCTGTGTTCAGCAGTGATGGGATTGCTGATAGTACGTGTGTTTCAGTTAATTGCTTTTGGTGTCTGTTTTTTTCCTCCAGAGTGTGTGATTTGGATTTACTACAAGTGAATGTTATCTATTATCTCTTTAAGCAGCGCATCACTAGTGGCCTCCGCCCAGGGAAAATGAGCCGTTAGCCAGCTCTTCAGCTTTCAGCTGTATCTGGTACAATACTTGCATTGTACAGTCAGCAGCATCACACATAAATTCTCTGTCATCAAAGCATATTATGTGAAACGTTACAACCCAAGAGTCCATGTTGTTATGGGCGCACCATTCAATCAAACGGAAATGTTAAGGTTCGCCTAAAATCCATCTTACATATTTGATATCTTTATTAAATTCTGAGTCTCCACTAGATAATAAAATAATCCTTTGAAAGCCACACGTACACAACTGTAAAAACTGGTCGACCAAAGAGCTGAGTTGTAGTTAGAGATCAAAGCATACAGTATGTGTGACCTTAACTCCTACTCTGACTCCAGTCACTTGAGACGTGGCTCAAATCATACACAGTTTGACAATATTCATGTCACACTCTGACGCTACGGCATCAGATTTCTTGGTTTATTCAACCCCAGCTTGCTGTCATCAGTGGCAAACAAATCTTTACAAAAAAAACACTGAAAATGTACCACAAAAGAGCAAACTATCCAAGAATCCTGTCAGCATGCAGCATTATTTAACCCTGTGCACCCATAAATAACTTGGGGCTCCCTCTCTAATGGGACTAACTTGAGGCTAACAGCTGTCACAACGCAAACACTGCCATGCTGTCAGAACAGTCCATTTAAGACACTTTCACCATGTTGAGCATGTCAGTGAATCTGCAGTTCCCCTGTTAGCTTAAATGTACATTATTCTCCAAGCTGTAAGAGAGAAAAAGGCAGCATGACAAACAAATGACACATTTAGTTCCTCGTCAGAGAGCCACTGCTGGAACAGAGCCATGTTAGCGTGGCAACTCCTCACTTACAAGATAACAAAAAAAGTAGTGAAAAATGAGGAGTTTCATGCAATTTGAATTTTATATAAGAAATATTCGTCACCGTCTGTAACTCCTTACTAAAATTACTCAGCTGTTCTTTGCTGAGCCGCACCGTCGTGTGAAGATGACCTAACATGGACATTTTTCGCTGTGCGTAAAAAAAAAACATAAGTCGCTGTGTTGTCACTGAAAGCACACAGGTTTCGTCTCACTGCTTAAAAACCGACACGCTAATCAGTCAAATATCTGATAACTACAGCATGTTTGTATGTTTTTCAATCAAAATCAATGACAGGTTCAGTTTACAGCTACGCTACACAGAGATGTCTGTCAAGCTAGCGGTAAGCTAGCTAACTTGTTACCAAGACAGCTAGCTGTTAGCTGTTATTTGTTTTCAACTTTTAGCTGCACCTGACGACGCTTAAATTGGACAGCAGGCTGTTATTTTCAGAAACTAAAGCTTTCGTTGCACGAGTTAACTAGCTTGGCTTCGTACAAAGCAGATGACAAACTGTGACCCACCTGCTGGATCAAAGTATGTTGGAGAGAAAAATCAAACTGCTAGCCAGCGCTAACGGCTAGCTACTGAAAAATGACAACAATCCTCCAGCAGCGGTGAAGCGGCAAGGCTCGACTAACAGATAACAGAGTCATCATCGCGACAGCAAGGCCAACTCAATCGATTCAAGACTTAAGATATAAAGTGTAGAAAGGTTAACGTTCATTTTCTGTTTCTTTGACCTTTTTTCGTGTACATTAATTTTAGATATTGTACTTCTCCACACAAAATATAGGGTCTGAAACACTCCCTTTGATTCCCCCTCCTGATCACTAGATACAGTCAAATTTAAGTCTTTGTTGGTTGACAATGGCCTTGAAATCAGTTTACTGGTCAGGAAAATCTAAAGAACTGGTTTTGAGGTAAGATAGTGACAGTACAAAATAAGCCTCTGTGTTTTTCTGACAATACAAATATAGTGTTTACATGAGCGACATATAGAGTGTTATGCATTAACTTTAAAAAGAAAGTAACGAACGCTTTCTATGTAATATATAAAAGTGTAAGAGGAGAACAAAAAGAAAACACTGCAGCAATGACTTTTCATTTGATGTAGCCTTACTTCAACTTTATACTGACACGGTCACGACTGAGTGCAGATTGAGAAGAAGATGCTGAAATTTTAATAAACCCACAAGCACATAATCATTTTATTAATTTACTTCTCTGAGTGAATACTCCTTCCTAAAACCTACAAATATGCTTCAGTTGTTGCACTCTGATGCCAGCTGGTGTCATACTCATGATCAACATATGATTGTTATAATTATGGATTGTATAAAAAGATAACTAACATTTATTTATACGTTGTTTTGATCTTAATATCATTTTGTTTTCATGTCCATGAAGTAAACACTAAATGGGAAAATAAGTAATATATTTCTTACAATGTGTAAGAGTGTGGAGGCTCTGGGTCGAGTGACACCATAATGAGCATCAGTCACTGGAGAACCTGAGCCTCTGTGACTGTAAAATGCTGTGTCATTGGCTCGTAGAGTCATTGTACACATAACGCTGGCCGCTGACCAGGTACAACGGAGCTGCACTTCAAGACCAACTCGAAAAGAAAAAACTAAATAAAGTGGAACGATGCTGTGATGGATATTCTCTGGTAAGTTTTTAAACCAATTCATAGCAAGTCTTTGACAGACAACGTCACAGCAAATATGTTTCATCGTTGTTCACTTTGTTTAAGTGTATAATGATGTTTATTTTCCCTTGGACAACCTTATTCCTTCATTGTTGTTGTTAATGAAGTAAAGACTTAGAACATGAAAATGCAGTGTAGGCTAGTGTGTAAAACAGAGTGTGTTAAACCTGATAGGGATGGGATCAGGTTACCTGCTACTACTTTATTCCAGCACTAAAGGTTACCCAGCATCGTGGTTGATACTACAAACAGATAACAGTAAACTATTCCTCCTTCTTCCTTCAGCCCTGTACAATGCTGCCAACTGGGTAGTTTCTTGCTGTGGCTCTTCGGGGACGGAGATAACATCATCAGAGAAATCAGAGAAAACATTCAAGTGTAAAGGTGCTCCTCATTGACTGAAATGATGCCATTTTTAAAATAATAACTTGCAGAGATCTCATGAATAAGCTGTTTTGTTTTCCTCACCGTGCAGGGCAGAATGTGTGGACAGTCTGTAATGATGCAACACCATCCAGTCCCAAACCTCCATAAGTCCTCCCTGCAGCGTGGACAGACAAGACAGACAGCTGATCTGCTCACAGCGTGTTAACATCTGCTTTGCCTCAACTCTGTGCTGCTCTGTACTTGTTCTAATGATGACTTGTCTGAAAACTCCTCTTTGGGAAGCCGGATGATGTCTGACAGCTGACGAGTGCAGCAGTGGCTCTACTCTATCCGACATTCACTGTAATGTTTTCAGCACATCCTGCTGATCCAGTGACTTAAATAAAGGACTGATGAGCATTTGAGTGTCTGAGTGAGGAATTCAGTGTCTCCTCAAGGGAGCTTTGCTTTTCTGTCATTAATCTCTTTTTTCCTGAGTGTCTGGTGCCATCATGTGGAGAAAAAAAATAACGAAAGAAATGGTGTGTTAATTGCTACAAGAAACAGTGGTGGAATGTAACTTAGTACTTCTAAGTACAAACTTGAGAAACTTGAACTTTACTTGAGTCTTTTGATTATACTTTATTTCCACTATTGTACTTTTAACTTCATTACATTTATCCGACAGATTTAGTTACTTTAAAAAAAATGAATTTTTTTAAAGAAAAAACTGAACAACATCTAAAACAAGATGCTTTGTTATAAATGAAACTACCCAACAGTCGATTGTTCAATGAGTGAATTTACAGGAATAACAGAGCACTTTTTGGATTTTTTTTGTTTCAAACTGAATAGATAGATACCTACAAAGATACGATACGATACGATGCGATATGATACGATACGAGATACGATACGCTAAGATACGCTACGATACGATACGATACGATACGATACGATACGATACGATACGATAAGGTAAGACAAGATAAGATACAATATGATAGGATACGATAAATTTCTGGCTATTGCTCAGAAATAAAAATAAATCACAATATCTTGAGAATAGATGCAGATCCATACTAAATCACAAAAAGATATAAATGTGATTAATTATTTCACAATTAAAATAAGTAATCTAAAACTAAATTAGAAAATGAAGAGGTCATACTGATAATAATACTGAAGAAATAAAACAATATTGCACATGATTAAAAAAAATCACAATAAACAAACTTGCACATGAAACCGAAACTGATCCTAAACATCCTACTGAGAGAGTAATATTGGAAATGATATTGACCAAATTGTTTAAGGAAATAAAGAATCATTAGTTGCAGGTAATAATTCAAAATGAGCTCCACCTCAACCAACTACAACAATGAAATCCTGCTTTCATATTCATACATGAGTGAAAATGTAATCATGTAATATATAGTAGTATAACAGCCACCAGGGATATTGTTCTGCATTATGTGTTTTTCCTTTTTATGTTCATTTTTGTGTCAACACTTTCTTTACTTCAGCAACATTTTCAGTGCATGAATTTTACCTTTAACAGAGTCCTTTACAGAGTGAGACTAGTAGTTTTACTTAAGAAATGGTGTGAATACTTCCTCCACCACTAATGTTGAATAGATTACTGCATATAGCAATCATAAAAACCTGCACACAACCAAATGAGAGCCCATGTGACAGATTCTCAGCCATTCACACCGTGGTGCACATAGAATTGTTAACAAACAACATTATTCAAAATGCCATCTGTTGGATACAAAGCGTTGGTTGTCCTCCTATAAGCAGGTGTGCATTCAGCTACAGACGCTGCACTGACTGCTGTTAAAGGATCAACAGACAGAAAAGCACTTTCACAACTGCAGCATTTCAGCGTTAACAGTGCACCTGTTACACATTTCCAAAGTTGTGGAGACTGTTAATGTAACCTGGTCGTAAAGTACAGCAACAGAGTTACACGCGATCTGTAGTAGCATGAACACTGGCAAACTACCTCCGAATTTAAAATGTTCAGACACAGATATATAAAGAACAAACACACAACTCTTCAGACTTCATCCAGGCTGTCAGCAGTTCAAACCCAGGACACGACCACTTCACCTGCCCAGTGCATCTGCTGCTGCCTGTCTAATATACACTGATTTTGGCTTTGCTCAGTGGAAGCTCTGTGAAATAGTAAATATCAGTTTTGATAGTGAATTATTATTATGTGCAAGAACCCAGATGAATCTTATCTTAAAATTATGAAACTTGTGCAAACTGTTTACTGCTTACTCAAAGTGAATTCAAGAGAATCTGTGGCTTCTTTAGTTTAGAAAACTGTTCTATAGCTTTTATAAGAAATCCCCAGCGTTCTGCATCAACAGTGGTCAAATTACTTGAGTGTGGTTTACGAGCAGAGAAGTTTGTGGTCTGGATTTCTTTCCGCGCACTCTGTTATCACAAGCACACCTCGACAGGTTCAGTTTAAACCCTCTCAGTGCAAGTCACACAACATCACACTGTGTTTAATATCATATCATATCATTTATTTAGAATAGAAGAAAGCACAAATGTATTTACATTCACATGTACAGTAGCATACAATACAATTTTACAGTTACACACTTCTACCTGGTCTGTACAAGGTTAAAGTGACAATTTCGGTTTACAGTGTGGAGCGATGGAACAACGTCCCTCAGTCTCTACTGATCTCTGAAGGTACTTTTCACCTGAGCTGGTGATGCAAAACAAACATGGATCAAAATGTAGAAAATATCCGTCTGGTCTCACGTTTGTAGTTATATATGACATTTGTTAACTTCTTATGATTCCACAGAGAAGCACTGACAACAGATGACGTGAAAAATCTGGATAGAGTTGATCTTTTTTTTTTTAACTGTATATTTCCAAAATACAAACATTAAAACATCTTTATGCTGTAATTTTGACCACATGAGAGCCAAAGATACAAGCAACACAATTAAGGCAAGAAATCTGAAGGTGTTACATCAACTTTTCTTCCTTAATCAGAGCTTGTTTCATGACGAGCTTCTCCACTACGGCTGTGATCTAAAGTGCAACTGCCACACAGTCCCTCCGTGCGTCTGTCATCATAGCACCATGGTGGGGATGTGGTGCACCAGGGGCATCTGGTGGGGCATGGCGGTCATCTGTGGGGGAGGAGGGGGAGGAGGCGACACCTGGGAGGGCACGTCCACGCCGGGCGCCACCGGCTTGTGCCGTGCGCTCTTCTGGTGCGCCCTGAGGCCCGCCAACTGCGAGTAGGCGCTCTGACAGACGTGGCACTTGTAGGGCCGCTCGCCGGTGTGCAGGCGGACGTGGTTGCGCAGCGTGGACGACTGGCTGAAGCGGCGATTGCAGAAGCGACACACGAAGGGCTTGTCCAGCGTGTGGATGCGCATGTGGGAGCGCAGGTTGCTGCGAGAGTTGAAGCCGCGGTGGCAGATGACGCAGCGCATCCGACCGGCGGTGGTGGAGGGGGCGGAGGAGGAAGAGGAGGAGGAGGAGGGAGAGCAGGAGGAAGGGCCGTCACAGGGGTGGGAGTCATCTGGGAGAAGAAACAAGGAGGAGGTGGGTTAAAAACTTCATATGGATGATACTTGCTCCGCGGTTTATTTGTATTCTTTGTGCTAAAATTGAACAAATCGAGCTTTACTCACCATTTCTGCTTTTCTTCTGGAGTTCTTCATCTGTTCCAGGAACTCCAGGGATTCCCAGGAACGTGTTGTGGGTGTTTCCATACCAGACGAGCAGCTCCTGGTCTGGTGGGATGGTCTGTGGTGGCAAGACAGAGCGCAAATGCTCAGTATTTTAACATATAATTTCAATGCGTTCCTTTAAAACTGGTGCAAAATCCAAGTTACAAAAACCACATGTTCCAGTCTTCTTTTAACCAGCAGGCGGCGCTGCTCTGCAGAATATTTGCACGATCCCTCCAGTCCTTCGGCCTGCTTTTTAAACTGCTGAGCAGTAGCTAATCCAAAGTGCATTCTCACCTCCACGGCCTTGTAGAAGATGCTGCTGCCGATCTGCACCACCTCCAGGTTTTGCTCCTGCTCGTTCCGGGCGCATTTGATGTAGGTCATCCAGCTGCGCTGATCCTCCTGACTGGCATCGATGAAGTAACGCACTGTGCCGTCTTCGTTGAACACCTGAACAAAGCAAACGATGTAAACACACACGAAGGAAAAAATGCCTAAAGTCTGACTCAGGATTCTGGGGTCACATTAGGTCAAAATCTTTCCTGCAGACGAACTTGTGCTCACCTCCCACATCAGGTTGTTGTTCTTGAACAGGTCCACGTGTTCAGGGGACAGGAGTCTCCCTGTGAAGGGGCCCATCTCGGTCCCAGCTTTGATCCAGGTCTTTGAGAAGATTCCCAAACCTTCTCCAGGGATCGAGCTTTGTGCGATGATCACCTCTGTGGGCAGCACCAGGCTGGACAGCTTCTGCACCTCTGCAGACAAAAAGAAGCAACGTGAGCATGAAGAATGGAGATTAAAATAACGACAGGGAACTCTAGATGATAGAAATAACAACCGCAGTGACATATTTTAAAATGTTTTCATGTGAATGAGAGAAGCTGCAGATTAAAGAGCGACTCAGTGGTCAGAGATGTTCTGAGGGTGAGAGAAGCCCAAAGCTGCAAAAAGTCCTGAAAGCAGCAAATGAACTGGATCTTATTTTAGTCACGAAATATTAAGCTACACCTTATCCTCCGTTTAATTCGATTATCTGGCTGAATTGAAAGTTTTTGTTGTGCAAAACCCCCTCGGAAAGCATTTTCATCCGCAGCAGAAAGGGGGGAAAAGAAAAGAAAAAAAATCGTGCGTCTTTAATGTCAAAATCAAAGATTTTTTTTTTTTTTATTTCAGGCTGCGAAAAAGCTCGGCCGAATAGGGGTTAAATGGTCCTCTATTGCCCAGGGTCCAGCAATTTGTCATGCTTCAGATGTGATATTCATTAAAGTTTACTGGAAAAGAAACGGCTAATTCCAAATTCATTATCCTTTTAAGAACTTTGTAGCAATAAATTTGCGCTGAATGAAACGAGGACTTGTTTAAAAGACTCAGGAATTTCTGCAACAAAAAAATGGAAAGGCGATTAGATGGTTGACATGCAATGAATAGCATTAGATTTAGCCTTCACGGTGCATTATGCGAGGAACAGCAAATCTTTTAAGGGGAGAGAAAGAGAAAAGCTCCGGAGCCCCATAGCTGCCAAGAGAGGAAAAGAGACTGCCCGGAGATTGATGAATGCGGGATAAAAACCCGGGACATCTCAAAGAAAGGAAACCTTTCTCTCCTCGAGGTTTAAGTGGAAACTTTCCCAGGTCAAGCACAAAGTTAACCAAATGAATTTAATGCCCTGCGTCTTTCAATCAGCGGCAGTTACACGCCTAACAAGCCTCTAAACGCGAGGTCCCAGAGCTCTGAAAGGGTTAACGCGTTAAATGGCTCGAAATAAACGCAGCAAAAAAATGAGGGAAAACGCAGAAAACAGCGAGGAGTTCGTGGGAGAAACTTTGGGGTGAAAAAATTCCAGGGGAGGCCAGTGGAAGTTGTTTTAGTGTCTCAGAATTTATCCAAAAAAAATGTGTTGATTCTGCTGAAAAATGTACAAATTTAGTGTCACGTTGGGGACAAATAAATGAAATTTCCAGTGTGGGGATTCTTAGATTTGTTGCAATTAATTTATTTTTAAAAAATGCATTAATCCAATTTAAATGTACTTTTATGAAAATATGTATTCTATTAAATAAATCCTGATATCTGTCCCTGCAAAGTGCAATTAAAGACGCACTTTTACGCACAGTTGGCACTTACTTTACGCATCAATAACTGCAATAAAAAAAAACTTCCAAACCTGCACACAACTGTGACCACACAGTCTGGACTTAAGGATTGCATTTAAATAAAAGCATTAAAAAGTAAAAGCAGCAGGTGAGCCTACCTCCAGCGAAGGACTGGGCCAGCACCTCGGCGGTGAAGGCGGTCTTGGGGTTGCTGCCGCTGCCGCTCTGGCGCTCCTCCGCCAGGTGTTCTCCCAGCACGTTCCTCCACCTGCCGTACAGAAAACTGTGCAGGATGTCCGAGGTGATCACGTCCGACAGCGAGCGACTCGGACACTTAAATCCAGACTTTAGTGCCAAAGCATCGGCGGGAAGCACGGAGCCCATGTTGCAAGACGCACAGAAAAAAAAAGAGCGAGAGAGAGAAAGAGAGAGAGAGAGAAACGGAGAGACCCCAGAAATGATATTAGTGGCGCAGCTGCAAGGAGACACGCAGAGCTGCTGTTCAGTCCGTCCTTTCTGCTCCAAGCTGTGCGCGTAAAACTGCCCTGCCTGGCTGTGAGGGTCTCTTTATATAAGTGGCTAGTGTGACCCCTGTCTAATTACTTATTAATGACACACCCCTCGCCGTGTGGACCTGCCTGCTGCACCAGCACAGGCATTAAAAACGCGCAGGAGAGAGAGAGAGAGAGGGGAGAGGGGGGGGTTAAGAGTGGCCAAAACTTTATTTTAATTATCTGCGCGTAAAGACGCACATTAAAGTAGGATTTTGTGCAAAGTTGCGCATGCATGCTTGGTTGAAATGTAATTTTTCACTATTTAAAGACAGAAAAGATTCAAAATTGAAGTGCGTAAAAGCATAAAAATAAGAAATAGATTGTTGCACACATATTTAACAGCCTGTTTGTACGCATGAAAATCAATTAAAATAAATGCATTTTGTTTGTTAAAATAATGCAACAGGATGATTTTTTTTAAAGACGTGAAGACAAAAGAACAGAAAAGTGTCAGTTTGAAGTTTCTGTGCGCAGAAGTGGGTCATTGAGTCTGGGAGTTGCTCGCCTATTTTTTTCTCAGGCATTTGGTATTCATGCGGTGGTAATATTAATTTTTTTTGTGAGGAGTTAGCGCGGGAATAACAAGAATGGAAACAAGCTCGACGTGCTGGTGTTTCTCTCTCCTTTTTTTTTTACAGCATTGTTCACATGCAAAAAATGCAAAGCTGCTTTGACGTGATTCACTTTTTTCTTTTTCTTTTTCTTTTTTTTCAAGCCCTTGTTGAGGTAAGCGGTTTAATATTCATGGATGTTCGGAGCCCCCTCGGTATTGTGGCAACGTTTAGATGAGTATATATGGCCCTTTTCTTCTCTATAGTCACAGTCCTCTGTGTTTTTTCCTCTCTTGCCTATTTTTCGGGCTTGATGGACTGGGGCTAAATGGGCAGTTTTCCTTCTTTTCCAGCAGAGAGGACATCTTTATTCCATCCCCGGCTCACAGGTTTCCTATTCAGCTCCCCTCCAAGTAATGTCAGGGCCCTGAAAAGTGCTGCAAATCAATCTTTCATGGTGTTTTGAGGGCAATTTGACATCCATGCACTCCTCTTTTCACTCCAACAACTACAAGGGGGATTGTCCGAAAAAATGGGCAAGTTGTGCTCTCTCTTTCTCTCCTGGACGAATATGGACTATGGCAATGTAATGGGAAAGAAGATATGGCAAGTAAATACAATAGCGGAGAGGTTTTTTGAGCAAGCAGAGATAGTGAAAAGGCAAGGTGAGTGACAGGGCACGAAAAAAGATTACTGTGAAACAGCTGCTTTTTATGAGCGGGCCCCTCCTACATTTGTCTCCTTTTCCCAGATGAAATTTCTCCGCGCTTTCAATGGGATTCTTTCTCATCTAGATTGATTTACATTTATAGCATTCATCGCACAAATCCGAGGTAAATGGCGGGGACAGGGGGGTGGGCCGCTTCTTTATTAAAGAGGAATTAAATGAATTGAATTGGGGTAACGCATGGATTTGATTTGCTTATTTATGCATTAACCTATGGCATTATTTGGAGCTGGTAAAGCCGCGGGCATGTCAGCAATAGCAAATCATCCTGCTTAGCTGTTCCATTGTAAAACAATTTAAGCTATTATTCTGTCCATTTAAAGCTTATCAATTTAATGTGGATGATTGACAATTATTGCACAAAGAATACGGTAATTGTTGGATTTCAAAGAGCTGCTGGGAAACCTATCAAAGAAAAGCGTTTGTTTGTGGATAAATAGGAGAGTTTTACGCTTATCCGCAATCTGCCCGGAGAAAAAGTGAAGCAAATAGACTCGAGCACGTATTTAAAAAAAGATTTAAACGTTTAAACTTAAAGGAGTTGACGGCTGAGATGGTTAAAACAGTAGAAGAAGGTTGAATTTTGGACGAAAGGTGCATTTATTTCGTGCGTTTTGCAGGAAAAACAATGCGTAAAAATAATTGTCACTTGCTCAAGTATCCACATTAAGAATAACTGAGTCAGGCCTGCTGCAGGGAAACACACACAAACACACACACACACTTCTGCAAACTGCAAGCGGGGAGAGAAAAAGGAGCGCAGAGTCTCCCGGGATCCTCCGCGGTGTCATTAAAAACAGATTAAGGTAGCTGCCACAGTGTGCTGGATACTGAAGATCGGCTTATCTGTTGCAAAGGTGAGAGCGGTGCGGTCCCTCCTTTCCCTAAAGAGCTCCTTTTTCCCTCCTCCTCCTCCTCCCTTCTGTTGTTGGACAGGACCGGGGGGGAGTCAGGACACCTGCTGGATGTGGAGGAGGTGGAGGTGCGCGCAGCACCGCCATTTACGCAGCGAGGAAAAGCGTTTTTTAAATTGTTTGGCTCGTCCCACGCCTTGTTTTCTACAAATATTAAATTGTAAAAATGGGTCCATCTTATGTTCCCACTTAGTTATCAGATACTAAAGCAATAATTTAATCATTATGATGTAATTCAATGCAAAAACACAAATTCCTGCATGAATTAAACGAAGATATTTTAATTTCTTTCTCTTTATCAGCAAGTAAATATTTTGAAATGGGCCTTTTTTTGCATGAGTACCTTCACTTTTAGGTACTTTGAGTAGATTCTGACAAACGGAAGTATGGTGGCACTGCTATTTTACTTGTATAAAAGCCTTCATTAAATCTTTCCCTACTGCTCTTTACAAACAGTGAACATGCACAAACAAAGCAAACAAATCAATAAGAAATCCATTCACTGCTGCTATGAGGGGTTATGCAGGAATGATGCAAGTGCTCAGATTTTTATGTGAAGTAAAACACAAAATAAATAAAATGTACTCTATCACAAGTCCTGCATTAAAAGAAAAATGCTTCAGTAAAAGTCCAGGAGTGTCACCAGATAAATGTGACTCACTTCATTCTTACTGTTGTTGTTGTATTTTGTTACTGTAGTATTTTATTGTTGGTGGTTCAGGTGGAGCTTTTTTCTGCTTTATAATGTTGGACAATGCCTCGATTATATTTTATGTTAATCATATAAATTCTAAGTCATATCTCTGCCAAAATAAACAAATAAATAAATTAAAAAAGCATGTGGAATACACAACTCCAGGGACTGGCCTCTGAAATGGCCAAAAAAATCTGAACACCTCAGTAAATTACAAGCACATTCTATATCACTTAACAGGACACATATTTATGCACAAAAACTACATTATAAACAATTAAAATAATCTAATATGTTAATATTTTGCTCACAATTATTACCCAAAACAGCAGACAACCACGTGTTTAAACTCATGGTGATCTACTTTTGTTTTTGTGGATTGTTTAGTACCAGTGAAGAAGAAACAGGATCCAGAAATCAGCAGCAGAGCTCCAACTCATGTCTGCTGATAGTGAAACACTACTCACCCTGAGCTGTGCTGTGTTCAGGAGCAGTGCTGCTGACCTGCAAGCAAGCAGAGAATTATTTGAACAAAGCAGAAGATATGTCACTTTGATTTCCTTTCACACAAATCTTAAATGCAGCTTGTTCTAATGACCCCACGTTGTGATTTACTGAATAAAGTTAGTTTTAGTTTTTTGGTTTAAAATCATAAATGAGGTTTATGAAATGTAAAACCTCCCTCTGCCCCTGTGTAATAGATAAACAAGGCCAGCAAATAACCCCATGGATGAGAAAACGTACCCCAGAGTGGCTCATATTGATAATAAACATGTTTCTCTAACTCAGCTATTTGGTACAACTGTATTACTGCGGCCACAAAGGAGCAGCAGGTCCAAAGTGTCCACAGGGACGGCACGTTTAAGAGGAAGAGGATCAAAATCAAGGACTGGATTTGGAAACAGCTGCACAGCATCAAAGCAGGGGCCGGTAACGAGGCCACGCAGGGTCCACTGTGGCAGGAGCCTCCCTGCTGAGGGCAAAGATGTGCAGTGACAAAGCTGGAGGAGGGGGTGGTGGGGAAGATCGGACCGGACAGGAGGGACGAGGTGCCGCTGGGTGTGGGCAGTTACCACGAGAGGAGGGACGGGAATGTGGCAGGGAAGTGGGGTGAAATTTAAAAACTGAAAATGAAAATGGGTTTTGTAACAAACAGCTGGGAAAGTTTGGCATCATGACACCTGAAAGCACACCTGAGATGATGTGAAAGCCACAAAATCCTCCTTAAAGCTCTGGTATTTAAAACAAAAATATGAAGAAGTTTCTCAAAAAAATGGCAAAACTTCAGCCCTTTTGGATCCTGCAAACATGTAAGCTTCACCCACTAAATAAAACTCTGACTTATTCTGAATCTAAAACCCAGAAACCAACACGTGCTTTTAAACAGATGTAACAAATTTACAGTTATATCTCTAAAGATGCAGAATTTGCGGTTTTAAACTGGCGGCTAAGCGGTGACGAGATGTAATGTTTGAACTACGTTAAACAGCGGAGCAGTTTATCGTTAGGTGGCGATAGTATAAGTCAACCACAAGAGAGGCTTGCGGAAAATTTATTTGAATTTGAGAACTGGCAGTAGACTATAGAAAATAGATTTTCTGCTTATAAAACATGAAAACATACATTTGGCCTATATATATATATAGATACCCTCTATCTGTTAGTATTTACACAATCGAGCTCTCAGAAGGTGAAACTCAACACTTTAGTATCAGAGTACAACAGAAGACATCCAAAACATTCATCAAACAGAGAATCAGCTTAACAGTACACAATAAAGGTAGTCTGGATGTTTTTAATACATGGTTAACTGTACACATAAAGAAAAAAAAAAAACAAAAACAAAAAAAACAAACACCATAATTAGACATTTTTGAAATTATATCCCTTTTCATTAAGAAATGACGTTAATACCAGAATCATCTTCCATAATGATGCATCATTTATATCATTTATATTAGATCACACAAAGAAATAAAAAAATTAATTAAAAAGTTATTAGCATTGGACTGAGTCCAACGCCCCACCGAGTCCACAGCGACGGGCTCAGTGGGGCGCCGGTGAACTGGGAGGTACCAAATAAGACAAGTTTTTGATCATAATACTTAAAACATAAAAATACTACATTAATTATTACACAGGTACGAATTACAGAAGCTTAGCAGTCTTGAATAGTTCAGGTACAGAACATACACAAAAGAGAGAGAGAGAGAGAGAAAAAAAAAAGAAAAAAAAATCTACCACTTCTTGTTTTTTCTTCATAACAAGATGCAACATCAAATTTCAAATCACACATTCACAATCTTTGAACATTTTCAGTATGAAAACAGAACAGAAAAAGAGGGACAATTTTCCTGCAACACCGATCGCAGGAAAAAAAATAGTTTTGTTTTTTTCAATATAAGTGTATATATATATATGAAACATATATATTTTAAATTAACAGTCAAATATATGAGCATATATACATAGTTTTACAAGGTAGCAAAGGCGAAAAAGCTATTTGCAACATCCCCCTAAATCCTATCATATCAGATCACTGTAATAAATTATCCATGACATTTCCATTTGAAAAAAAGAGAGAAAAAAAAACAAATCATCTTAAAACTACAAGTTAAAAGTCTGTCAAAATATTAGAGAACCCATCTTTGTTTCAAAAGTGAAATAAGATATTGCACCTTTTTTTTTTTCTTTTAAACCAGAGTACAATAAAATGACAATGAAAAACAGCATACAATGCACAACAGGAATTAAATTAGAACTATTGCCACTGGCTGACATTAATCTGCTTTTTTATCTTTAACCTTGTAACAAAAATACATTTCCTGTAACAAAACATCACAGTTTCATTTCACTGAATTATGTAAAAGGAAAACATTTCAAACACACTCTTTAAACATCTCATGACAAATGACAAAAAAAAAAAACAACAACGGGTATTCAAGACTGCTAAGCACATAATCATGGTTTCATTTCGACATAACTAGAAAAAATAGATCATATTGCCTTTTGAAATGTTACAACTCTTGGGTTCGTTTTGGCGGTACAATCTGAGTCAAGACAGGAAAATATAGAAAAAAAAAAACAGAAACAAAACAAAAACAAAAACGAAACAGCTCTCTCAAGTCCAAAAAGGGATCCCAGATACTGTCTATCCAAAATAACAGTGTACATAAGCATTTAGTAACAAATAAATGTTCCTGATTTTTAGAAATATTACTTTATCATAGAAGTCATTCTACAGCTAGTGTTTCTCACTAAGAAAAAAAGTCTTCAAGGCGTTGTAAATCTAGAACCCCCTCTGTTAAAAAAGGGTCGTTTCCATCCTCGCAGTGATTCAAGTCTTTAACCTGGGCGACTTCTCTAATGATCCTGCAGGAAAAAAACAACACGAGATTTAGCACAAATCTGGTGATATTTTATGGTTTTCTTATTGTCAACAAATCCATCAAGAACATCTTTGCACTGAGCTGCTTCATTGTAGTTTATGTAGCAGCAGGATGATGTTTGAGATCGACTTAAAATATGAATAAATGCCTGAAACCCCCCCCAAACACACAAGTTAATCCTGCCGCAAATATTTTCTACATTAATTGTTTTGTGCATTAAAAAAAAATCTTAAAACATCTGCTACAATTTCCAACAGCAGGGTTGCCAGGTCTGCACCTCATTTTTGAATTTTCTTTTTTAAAGTCAGCTGGTTGGGTAGATTTAGTTTGGATGCAAATTCCATAAATAACATCTAAAAAAGGGTTTAAAATAAATAACTTATTCATTTCCTATCAACCTGCCGACTACACACGGAGCTGCGACACTAGAACTGAACAAATAGTCGATTTTAACTGACACTACATATTGTATAAATGCAATTAGCAGCTATCAAGGGATGTAATTTTGAATACAGTCTATGTTATGAAGCACATCTGACCCAGACTTTGAGCTGTCACTGGTTTTATAAATTCCCGCCGTCCACCTTGAGCAACAGTCAAGGTTTTGAGGGCATCTTGTGTGGAAATACTTCAGATAATCTACATCTATTACAGTGACTATTGAAGCGAGGCATCATTTTAAAAACGATAGAGCAAACCACATTGACTTATATCGCAATTAAATACTTTCTCCAAATTGTTCACCTGCCTCTCGAAGTACTGTGCAGGTTCGGTCACACAGACCTGGCAACCCTGCAGCAAAGTCAAAATGACATCATCAGCTCTTCAAAGATTTACTATCACGTAACAACAAATCATCACATCAGGCAAATGTTTGTTTTGGGTTTTTTGGGGTTTTTTTTTCTCAGAAAACCAAAAAAAAAATTATGAATCAACTTTCAAAAAAAGTTCCTACCTGACTTCTTATTTTTTATTTACTCCTCAGGAAACATTCTAATTTACTACAATGACTGAGCTTTACAATTTAACAATATATTTGGAGCTCCTTCTAGCTGCTCGTTGCTACAGGTAGCGCAGCATGAACCTGACCTATGGGGCGGTTACTCTGTTTTTGTGGTAACTGTTGCCAGGTGGGGCAGATTGAATACATCTCTCTGTTTAACGGCTCCACAAATCTAAAAACTAACTAAACAAAAACTGAACGTCTATTAAAGCAGGTTTTAGTGCAGGACTGGTATTAGCCTGCATTAGCCGAAGCTCATTGGACCCAATAAACCACCAACTAAAGCACAAGTGTCGGTGTGAAATATATCGTTTTGTTGACATTAGGATAAACACACCAGCCTCATCCTTAACCATGTGCTCTGTGAACTAAGCTGGGCGACACATGTGGAGCTGGATCTCACCTGAAGGCCCGGGGCTTGTGTCTGCTGAGCGCCCTGGTTGAAGAAGGCCATCGGCTGTCTGTAGAAGTCAACCCAGGCGTTGTAGTCAGGATTAGAGGTCTGCTGAGATCCAGGACCAGCTGTCTGGCCTGAAAAGAGGAGGAGGGAGGAAAAAAAACGCCAGTGAAGAAGAAACAAGTGTGCAGAAATCAGCAGCAGAGTTCTAACTTTAATCTGTTTGTGTTGTGCTCATAACACAACACAACTCACCCCAAGCTTTGTTGTATTCAGGAGCAGTGCTCTGGGCTTGGTTTTGCTGACCTGTAAGCAAACAGGAAACAACAACATATGCTCACACATTTCAGTTTGATTTCGTTCAACACAAATGCAGATTTCCATTCTTGACTTTTTGAACCCTCACATGAATAAACACTTTTATTTCTACACAAAAACACACACGTCATCAGGTGTGTGTGTGTGAACAAGCTAATGAGATTTAAATCTAAACTTTGTGAGCGACTGAGCCCGATGATAAATATTCTTTTGTTCCCGAGTGACACTTGCCTAACTTTTTATAATACTGCTCCCAGTCCATCTGGCCCGTCTGGGATCCATTGTGACCTGAAACCAGACACAGATAACACCACCCCAGTTACTGAGAGCGCCGTTTTTTTTGCTTTTTCCACCTTCTGCTCTCATCTGCGATTCTGCTTCCTAATGATTTCCATTGACGGCGGACGTTAAACTCGTCTGTGCAGGAAACACGTGGTTAGCCACAGGGAATGTGACCGCCTCATCGCAGAGCACTTTGAATGCGGCGCAGCAACAGGGGACTCGACAACAAAGCTCAAAATGTCAGTCAGGTTTATGGATAATGAATATTTTGAATATTTCTGTTCTCTTGATAGGTATCGACTGTAGCCATCAAGCTGGGAATGAGTCACAGTTCATGATGTTGGTTACTTACTGTGGTCCTGTTGGCCTTGAGGTTGCCAGATCTGAAAGGTTGTCCCCCATCCTCCAGTCATGAACGTCTGAGGCCCACTGAGCAAGACAATTTAAAGTGAGTTTTTGCTGGTCAAATCCTACTGAAGAAATATATGCAACTGTGACGTATGAGGAAGACAGAAGTGGAGCCTTACTGTTGAGGAGGAGTGGTTGGTCCTTGGTTGTAGGGATTCATACCGAAGCTGCTGTTGCCTCCCATTCCTGGGCCCTGCAGAAGAGAAAGGGAAGAGGAGGTGAGCGAGAGACCACACTTGTGTTTAAAGGGAGCCAACAGGCAAGGTCAGAGGGCAGGGCCGAGCGCTGATGCACTCCATTAAGTCCATTTGATGGATTCTTCATGTTTAACCTCTGGTGACATCCTGCTGGCCACCAGGACCACAGCGGCCCAGCTCACCCCAGCAGCTCCCCGCATTGACATGTGCGCTCATGAATATCAGGCCAGACAATGGCAGCTCGGGAGAAGGGAGGGAGGGAGGGAGGGAGGAGAGGGGGGGAGTAGCAGAGCGGGGGCCGGAGCCGGACCACCTACCCCAATTCTCTCATCGATCAGCTGGCGGGCCTTTTCCAACTGCTGAGGGGTGCCTCGGATGGAGAAGATGCGCACATTGGGGTCGGTGTTGGGCGGCGGGTTTCTCTGGAGCTCCACGTGGGCACGAGACTGCTCTTTGATGTTCTTTATGGTTTCGCCACCTGTCAAGTAATGACATATTTGGAACAAATATTAGCTTCTGTATGCAGCTCAAGTGAGATTTGCATAACACATCTACATCGCCAGATATCCAGCCTTCTTCGTTGTGAAAAGCTGGCACCTGCTTTACCCAAACTCCATCGCGGACGCATTAAGCTAGAAGCCGATCCTGTAGCCTCAAGTCGCTGCCCTCAAGCAGAGTTTAGGTGCCGAGGTCTGATGAGCCGACTCCCCTCACACCACTTCTTCTTTGCTCACATTTTCAACTTGGTACAAAAGCGACGCGCTATCGTCACTCGAGGCGATTTATCAGGGTTCCTGCTGGAGCCACGAAAGCCTTTATGCATCATCTTCAAACACACAACCCTAATCCCTGAGACATGTAAATAGACTGATGAGTAAAATCTGTGGAATTTCCCTTTATGGTGTTTAAACTGGTTGCTGCTGGACGGCCAAACCCCCCTTCGCCCCACACTTTTCCAACCTCAGAATTTTGAGGGTTGGGGGGCGGCGACGCTGAAGCATTTTTGCATGTTTTCCAACAATGACGACCGCGTTATGCAGAAAATAAGCAAGAGTTTCTCTTTGGAGCTCAGTACAAGCTGCCTCTTTAACAAACACTTCTACCATAACTCCACCTTTATATGATGCTCATGTAAGATTAGATTAGCTGTAATCGCTTGTTTCTGCCTGGAGGGAAGGTCCACGTCAACACCGTGAACACAGCTGAGACACACTTATCTGATATCCGACTTCCCATCCTTACTATCCTCTCCACATGACATGATCGCAGCGTCAGACTCGATTCGTGCGACGGTGCTACCTTACGAAAAAATCTGGCATGTGTCTCACCACTTATCTGCCATTCTCTGGTAACATCCATGCAAATCAGGAAACAAAAGAAGACATCTCCTGCACGCCACCCCCTCCTCTGCATCAGATGCCAGCTTCCCGACGTGTGGGGAGAGCAATTACACCAGCAGGGAGAAATGAAACATAGCTGGCAGGAGAAAAGGGCCAAAATTGAAGCGTATCCTCCTTCTGGGCTATCGTTTGTCTCTTTTACTCTTTTCATTCTTGACTCTGTGTTGTCCTCTGTGATGAGAGGAGGGAGCGAGGGTGGGAGACGGTGGGGGGGGAGTAGTGCTGAGGGTGCTTCCCGAGGGGGACACTGGGGCTGTCCCAACATCAATTACACATTTGTTCACTTGTGGCTGACACTCTGATGACCCTGGCTGACCCCCGAATGAAAACGCTCATCAAAAAGCTCTCCTCCTCTCGTAGCCTATTCCTGCTGCCAACAGACTGCACATGGGCCATTAACCCATTGTCAACCAAATGAAACTTCTGCCTTAATGAAGCCATTATGAGCTCTTCTAGTCAGACGGCAGAGAGCAATGAAGACCCCGACTATTCATTTCATGGACTGGGCTGTAGTGAGGACAGATAATACGGGCCTTATTAATGAGACTGGTTTAGTGAGCTGGAGAAAAGGAGGGGATACAAAAGTGCAACTGGTGACGGCATTCAGGGACTGGTTAGCTGCTGGTGGCGAAAAGAAAAAAAACTCAAAAGGCGTCAGTGGGAAATAAACTGGTGATATGGCTGAAAAAAGCAGTATGAATCATATTTTTTTTAAAATATCTAACAATTAAAACACTATACAGTAAAATTACATTTAGAAAAGTGAGCACTCGCCTGTTTGGACTATTTTTCAACACGATAATTAGACGTTTTGGGATTGAAACAACGGAACAAAGTCAAATTAATCTGCAGCAATACGTCATCCATTTGTCCTTTTTGTATCTGGAACATTTATAGATTCAAGCTTAGCAACTGTGATTATTTCCATTTTTCTGTTTTTGGTCTATCTTGACACAAACTGGGTATTTGTGGACAAAATGAGTCACCTCCAAAGATGGGAAGACTGACATTTTAGTGACATTTAATTAAATAATCAAGAAATTAATCAGAGGATCTGCGTTTATTCTCCCTTGTAATCTTTTGTATTGGGTTTGCTTTACATAAACTTTAATCTATCATTACATCCTACTCGTCTCATCTCCTACTGTGACCACATGGAGAGAGTCAATAAAAATATCGTACCTGCTCCGGCAAAGTTGCAACTTTTTAAAAAAATGTTTTTTATTTATCTTTTTGCTTTTATCTTTGTGCACGCCGTTCACCATGCTGTGTCCTCGTCGTATCGAATATGACAGAGACACACTGGTAAACACTGGCTTCAAAGCATTTCATACCATGTATAACTGTGTTTGTGACCAATACAGGCCTTGAATCTTGAGCTTGAATCTATTAGAAAAAGTGCAAAAAAGATGATCACATTGGCAGCCAGCTCAGAATCTTATTGAAAAATGTTTTTAGGGCAGTTTTTGTTGTTTTTTTGATAGATAGGATACATGAAAAAGCTGGAATGGTACCTCAGATTAACTATAATCTACCTAAAAACCTTTATTTGTCAAATGTGTAAAACAACTCCATTAATAAATATCACAATCAGCTCAGACAGAACATCATCTTTCTTCACTCATCTGAGAAACACTCAAGTATCAGAGTACTTCATACTTTAGTTTACAACTATAGCAGTCATTCACGAGCAGTTTTTCAACTTTAAACCAGACAAACTCCATTTACCGTTGTCCTCTCAGCAGTATTATAAAACTGAAACCACGTAAACAGACCTCATGTTTAGATATTTTAGCTCAAATCTGGAGTATAATCGTAGGATGCTTATTCTGCGTTTTGCACTTAATTCATGGCTGTAATAAAGTCTGAGCTGGCTGGTGGGTGGCTTGATTCATCAAGCTCTGTGTGACTGTGTGTGTGTGTGTGTGTGTGTGTGTGTATGGGGTCAAAACAGAGGGGCACTGGGCTGCATATGGCATCGTAAAGATATTAATCACCGCACCCTTTAAGGGATGGCTGACAGCACCCAGACCCACCGCCATCTCCACCATATTGGCCCACTTCATATGCTAATGCGCAGAGAGGGGGACGCAACGCCCAGGTTTATTTGTTTCCCTCGCCCCACTACATGCACAAAAGCCACTTGACATTTCTATTGCCATGTTTTTATCTTAGGTAAAGAGGCCCCCATCGACCCGCCCACCGCTGCACACACACACTAAGGCAACATGCATGCCAGCATACTGCACTCTCACACACACACACATACACACACCTCCTTCCAATGCAATGGTCAATGACTTTTAAATAGCTGGCAATAGAGTGGGCATGAATAGCCAATAAGCTAATTCCTCCTATTCATTCCCTCGCTGCACTCTATTGGGCTGAAAGACCCTCATTAGATGCCAGGCAGCCTTCCACATGATTGAGGGCTGTTATTATGCACCTTTAACAATTAATGTCACATTACACGCATTATCCCCGTCATTAAGCCCTTAGTGAAGCCAATGAATGCCACTTGTGCTGTATACATGAGCCCTGGAGAGAGAATAGGAGGGTGGTCACTCACCCCCCCTCCCTCTTCTCATCAGTTTCATGCAGCCAAACGGCGTCCAGTTATTAAAAGGGAAACGGCAATCTGGTGAGTTGGATACACTCTTATTAAGAGTGTTCATTTTGATGAACTATTTCTCTGAGGCAGCAAAGTTGTGCCAGTTTGCAGCACAAGCTGGGAGAAGACCTCACAGCGAGAAACCAATTAAAGGCGACAAATGTGTCCCAGCAGCTTGTACTTTAAATACAAACTAGGAAATCCTAACTATACAAGCACATCATGGCCACAATTGGTCATTAAAGTGTGTATATATCAACAGGTGTTTAACCCTCTGAAACACTTTACAGAGTCGCCATCCTGACAACATCTATCAGAGCTAGAATTGTAAAAGCAGAATTTATCAGATTGTGAACTAACCAATGGTCCCTGAACTACTCATCTGTGATGTGATGTTCAGTTGGGAAATTTTGACCAAATCCAAGCTTAAATTCAAGACATTTCACCACAATCATTTTATTCCACATGGCTCATTTAAAAACAGTTTGCTCACAACCAGGAGAAAATTAGCAACTTAACCAACAGTCTATTGACAAAAATTCAGCAACTTTTCAGCTGAACTGCAGATACTTTAAAAAGGGCAGAAGGACCCAATTCAAACTGTGACCAGTTAAATATCTCCAGTCGTCCTCAAATGTATTCATCCTCTTCCATTAAAGAAAAGGAAAAATTCACAATAGTCACTCAAATAACTAGAAACTGAAAAAAGTAATAAGAAATTTAAAAAAAAATGCAAAATTATAATTTTGTGAAATAAGACATTGCTTTTGAATTGTGGTTGAAAAGAATAATTTAAAAAAACAAAAACAAACAAAACTGTTCAGGACAAATTAGAGCACTTTGCTGATGAGCAGTGAAATCCAAACACCTGTCAACAGGTGCAGAAGTCTGACTGAGAGTTACAGAAAACACTTGATTGCAGTGATTGGCTCAAAGGATTGTTTAATGAAATATTAGTTTACGGGCCCATTGTGCTTGTTTTTTAAATATTTCTGTTGAACCACAATTCAAAAGCAATGTCATGATGTTCATAAATTTTTTTATTTATTATTACTTTTGTCAATTTCAACTTATTTCAGTGACAGCTGTCTTTTTCCTTCTTCAATGGGAGACTATGAATAAATTTAAGGACGACTGTATAGTATGCAGAGTTACAATTTTTTCCCAGTACTAGCAACACCTGTGGCCACTTAAAAATGTATCGTTCATACTTTTATTTATTTTTTTAATTTGTTAAAGAAATGTAACTTTGTCTTTTCTTTTTTTTATGATTTATGGCATTATAACTTCAACATATTCTCGTAGATTAATCGTAGCAACTGGACTTGCTTGAGTTCTTTGAAGATGTTTCACCTCTCATCCAAGAGGCTTCATCAGTTCTTAGGACTGAATTGTAAACAGGTGAGAGGTGATGCCTCAGACCTCCACCTCTGTTGAGGGATGGTCTTTCCAGTTTGACGGAGATGACTTCTTTCACCCCCTCTCTCAAACCCTCTGTCCTCCCTGGCCAGAATCAGAACTGATGAAGCCTCTTGGATGAGAGGTGAAATGTCTTCAAGGAACTCAAGCAAGTCCAGTTGCTACAATTAATCTACAAGAATAACCATGACCTGGATGACTTAGAATCTTCACAGACAACTTTAACATACTGCACAGAAGACAGTTTTGAGTTTTTTTTACTCCTAGATATTGTTGTACTGTTTCCACATTGGTTCAAGCCCACAGCGAGTAAAACACCCAGAAACTGTTTGGGTTTCAGAGGGTTGAATCAGTGAACATAACTCAAAAAACAAAACAAATTTTAAAAAAACAACAAAAAAAAAACCACACACACACACACACACACACACACACACACACACACACACACACACACACACACACAAAACCATGTTCCTTACCTTTGCCAATCACAAGGCCGCACTTATCAGCAGGTACTGCATATGTGACCTCCTGCAGTCCTCCAGGGCCTCCCATGTTACAGTCACCTCGCCCTCGACGTCCCATTACACCACCAAATCCATCTCGCTCCTACGGGGAGGCAATTAAAAGAAAAATCAATTATAGAAATTATAAAGCGACTCTAAACTGTTTCCAATTTAGACTTTATCTGATAATGATTTAGCCTTGGCACTTTTCACTGTTCATACTTTTAAAAATCGTTTGAGGAACTTATGAAAGTTGACATCAGCTTGATTTCTGTTAAAGTAATTATGTTTGGTGGCATGTCTTTCTCCCAAATGAACATCACAGTAGTAATGCCTATTACTGCCTTTTTTCCAAGTCAAAACAAATGAGCAAACATAAATAAAAGAAAGCTGAGCACATACCTGAGCTGTCTGAACCAGTTCGTTGATGAGGTGGACTGCGTGGTGGCAGTGGTCGGGTTGGCCCATCACCTGAGCAACACGGTCAGGACTGACTCCATCATCTGAGTAACAAAGGACACGAAAGATCTTCAACTGCTCCAAGACTTCATGCATATTTTTTGACAAGTGATTTCAAAACTAGCTCATAAATAGAGCAAAAGCCTGGTTAAGTTTTTCGAACTCTATGAGCTGCAAGGTTTGGATCTCCGTGACGACTGATGGTTTCTAGGAAATGTTCGATGTTCAAAGTGGCACAGAAATCACTCCGTCAATGAAGTTTGATTTAGTAATTTGTCATTTCTAAGGAGTTCTTCTGGATGGCTGGTGTTATTTGTGGAGGAAAATGTCATCTCCTGTAACTTTTGTAAAAGGAAAACGCCCAAACTATTACTGTAATTTCCAGACTATAAGCTGCTACTTTTTTTTTTTTTTTTCACACACTTTGAACACTGCGGCTTAAACAATGACGCGGCTAACACATGGATTTTTATGATATTTTACAAATTTGCCTCGAGACGTGACACTGAGAGCGACAACGACAGAGAGACTGAGGAAGTGTGTGATGAAGTAATTCTGAGGCTGTTCAACTGTGACACTGAAGAAGACGACTTTAGTGGTTTTAGTGCGCAGGAGGAAGACGAAGATAGCGATCAATGACTTTTCCTGGTAGGCTCCTGTATTTTTTTATCCAGCCGTGTTACAGGCACTGTTTGGAAAAAAAGCATTTACGTATTTGTGTATGTTACCGGTATGTACTTAATTAAAAGTTTAAAAAAAATATCTGTGTAAATATCTCATGTTACAACGTGGACACCTGCAGCTTATAGACAAGTGCAGCCGATATACGTACAAAATTTGTTTTCTTTTTAAAGTTAGTGGGTGTGGCTTATATTCAGGTGCCTCAATAGTCCGGAAATTACGGCAGTTTGAAATCTCAAGACTGGATTGTATTATACCGACCCTGAAGTGGCAACATTAGGTCTTGTTTAATAAAGTTTTACCTTGTTTGAACTGGATTCTGACACCGGCATCATTCTGAATCTTCTTGATCATCTCTCCGTTCCTGCCAATGATGATGCCAACCGCGAATCTGGGCACAACCACCTGGACGGTAAGGACAGAGGAGATATTTCAGCAAAGGCTACTTTTTCCTGTCCCTGAATAAATATATAAATACTAGGGGTGGGACTTTAAGGCGTCAATTACAATGAATGAATTCCAACAAAAAAACGCGTTAATAAAATTAAGGCATTTAATCGCAGTTTGCATCCAGACGACACAGAACGTTTGTCAGCGCCCGATTTCATGGTCCACCGATCACACTGATGCATCAGTGCTACACTAACAACAACAAACATGGAGGAATCCGATGAGAGTGCATTGTTTGGACTGATGGAGGGTAAGTTTCATTTTAACAAACTGCCTGATGGAAGCCTTGACAAGAGCGTGGTTTTGTGCAAGTTGTGCAAAAAAGAATTTGCATACCACCGAAGCACAACAAGCTTCCACTACCACCTGAATGCAAAGCATGTTGCAGCGAGCACAGAAACCGCCGGAGCTGTTAGCACTAGCAGTCCTGGTCCGAGTACGAGCGAGCGGTTTCAGCAGTCCGCACTGGACCAAGTACCGCTCTGTTGCAAAGTAAACAATGATTTGTTGTTTTAATGGATGCATGTGTCTATCATTTGATTTAGTAATACATCAAAATCCATTTAAACTGAAACATTTTTCTTCTTGCAGCAAATATTGTTATGAAAAATACTTTTTTTATTCCAGAAGGGAAATTCAATAATTCATTTAATAGTTATGCGATTAATTGAGATTATTTAATTACGAAGCCTCTAATTAATTACATTTCTTTTAAATGGAGTCCCACCCCTAATAAATACTCATTAACTTGGCTGTCCAGCATTGGGAAAAAAAACCCAAAAAAGCAGAGAAACGGGCTCTTACATCCAGACTGCTCCCCCCCATTTTGGATCCAAAGTCTGCTCTGCCAGCCCTGAAGTCTCCCTGGTCTTTGTCCCGGATGAGCTTCACCACAAGCTCACGGGCTTGCTACAAAAAAATAAAATTAAACAAACAAAAATCAGTACAAGTCTTCATCAGCATTTTGACAATAAATGAAACAAAGCAAATGTCCTGCTGAAGTGCTCTGAAGAAAACATTTCCAAATGTACACTGAAGGCATAAAATGTGTAAAATTGAGTGTAAACAAGAAAATCCAGCAGCACACACTGAGCTCCTCAGACACTGACCTGCACTTTGTGGGGATCCCCAGTGATTCTCAGAGGCTTGTCTGCTCCAGTTGGCATCGGGTCATCCTGAATCATTATCATCTGCACTCCTGTTCTCTCCTGCAGGGGTACAATCAGACGGAGGCAAAAACAACCACCAAAGAGTTACCTGGGGCCCAAAAGACCATTCGCTCCGAAGGGTAGAAATTTTGTCACATTTCAAAGAGCAGGTTTGATTTTCTGTGTGGTACTGGCGACCCATTTGTAGTAAGGAATGTGTGGATGATTTTAAAACAATATCTCAAGTAAATGAAGTGTTAATCTAATCAAAATGTCAATAAAAATAAATTGGAAGTGTAATTTAGTGTCCAACCAGCCTCTGCGAAGACACATTAGGCCATTAGTACCCTGTAGTGTTGTTCTGACAGCAAACTGAAGACATACTTTTTTGGATTCTGTTTTTGATTTGAAATAAAATCCATACACATCCCATTGTTTTAGGATTGAGGAAATCTATTTTTGCTTATCTACTCTTGCTTGAGATGATACCTTAAACAGATAATGCAGTCAGGGTGACTCAGTGGTTAGTTCATCAGCCACTGGATAACACATAATTGCAGCTGCTTCTGCCATAAGACCATGTTCTGTCTGACCTTTGTATTATTTTACTGCTGGCATTATTTAGCTAATATTTAACTACCTAACTGTATCTGTCTGAATGAGAAATGACAGGCATGCACCTCAAACAGGTTTAAAACTGTGAAAATACTGAAGTCAAATCCTTTAAAGAGATAAATCCTCTGGAAATGGGGTTTAAAACACATAACATACTGCTGTCCCCCAGTGAGCAAAACACACTCATCCTTCTTGTCTAAATTTTGAGTCTATTGTGTCTAATATCGTCTGCATTTGCTCAATCTCTACAATGACGGTCAGTAAACAAAAAAGATGGCGGACTGCAGATACAAGTTTGTCACATTCTTCATTTTACTGCATTAAGAGCTGCATTTTCAGAGCGGTCGACTATCAGACCTGCAATTGTTTGATGGTCTCCCCTCCCTTGCCGATGACCAGGCCGACTTTGTTAGCGGGGATAAGGATCTGTTGGATGGAGCTGTTGCCGTCCATCTCATTGTGGAAGCCTGGTCCATACCGACACTGCTCCACGATCTCGCTCAGCAGTCTCTTCGCCTGCCTGGGAGGGTGGAGCGGAGAGGAAGCATTCGTCACCACAGTCACACAAAACCTGTCTTAGTCACATTCCTCTTTGTCAGATGTGAAAGATGTGTCCAGGTGATTCAGTGCTGCTAATGAGATGTGAAAAGAGATCCGAGTTCGTGCCCCGTGCGGCAACAATAGGGCACACTTTCCCTAATGATCTGTGCAGTTTAAGCAAATCTGTCAACGTTAAGAGACTCACTCGATGTTCTCTGGGCTTCCGGTCAGTGTGCAGGGCCTGTCCAACATGCCTCCACTGTCTGGAACAAAGCACAGCATGTGAGATGTGTTGTAAACTGTATATTCAAGACAGTTTTCTTCATCAAAAATAAAATAAAACAAAGTGGCCTCAAGCAACTTCACAATCAGAAAATCAGGATGACAATACAGACAATATGTGGAACACATACAAAGAATGAGGGTGAGGAAACGTTAGTAAATTGTGTTGATTGATATTAAAATAAAACTAAACAGGCAAGAAAGGCACATATCATCTCAAGGAAGATCTGGTTTATAAGATTACATCTCTCTACCAACTAAAACAGACTAACTTTGTAAGTTAGAAAGTACGATTTAGGATTCAAGGGACTTTATTTGTCATGCCGGCTCACATTCATGTTAGTGGCACGGAATTAGTACTCAGGTTTTTTTTTTTTTAAAGAAAAAGCCTAATAAATAAGTACAACAAAACAAGAGCAAAATATAAGTGAAAGAAAAAATATGGCAATAAGTGTAGCAAAAAAATAGAAATAAACATTAAGAGTAGAAATCCACAATTAGTTGTTTAGCAAAAAGTATTTGTGTAGCAGCAAGGTAGATTGCAATATTACACTTGGTGGTTAAAACATTGCACATATATGGATCAAACTGCACAGAGTTGAGGACCTTTGTATTGGATGACATTTAAACCACTTCCGTAACTGTTAATGTCTGAAGCTGCGTTGTCAAACATCAGAAAAACATGGATACTGTAAAAATAAACTGACTTCAGAAAAACACCTGGAAGAGGTGCAGGACATTATGAGCAGCTGAAGCACAAAATCAACGAAAACCAGGTTTGAGCTGTTCTGAAGTTCTGTATTGTATAATCAAACAAACCTTCTAGATATCCTCCTAATGACTAATTTCACTGTCAATTGAACGGAAATTTGAAGTGAGACTCATCTAAAAGTAAGAAAATACTTGGAAAACAGTTCAAGGATTGAGCACCAGTTAATCAATAATTGCCTAAAAGTTAAAACACATTCATCTAAAAGACATTTGAAACTGTTAATTGTAGTAAATCCTGCTGAAACATGTGGCACATGATCTTACAATGCATGACAACAACCCACTATCCAAACACATGACTTTGTTGAATGTGGTTATATTCCAAAGCATACACACAAACCTATGCTTATCTCCAACATAAAATGACCGGCAAGTTTTATAGGACGTCATATAAGATGCAACAATAAGTGACAAGTATTATTGATATCAGCTAGCGAGGGCAGCAACATCTCATTGGTTAGTGGAGTGTTATGAGTACTGCTGGAGCCAGCAGGAAGTTTTTCTTTTCGCTTATATTTAGCTGCTGCCGGTTACTCATTTATAATCTTCCAGCAAACAACACAGCCACCGTCATCTCTTATTTAAAACATGGTGAAGATAATAATGCCAGCACTACGAAGGCTGCTCTCACAAGATCCTACAAGGCTGAACTCATTATCACTTTACTGCTTTTACGCTCTATTAACTCTCTGTATTAACCTTTTTTAAGCACTATATGCTGTGATTACTTAGTTTATAGGTGGTTTGGGCCAAAATGAGACATGGACCTGGACTTTTCTTCAGGTTCCAGTTCAAAAAAAATATGAAAAGGAATGTCACAAATGATATTTTTTTAAATAGGAGGGATTAAAATGTTCCAAGGTCCTTGTGAGCTAATTATTTCCAACACTGCTGCACATCAACAGGAATATCTGCTGTCCTTCAGGGCCTCACTGATGCAATGTGTTTGGCCTAAACTTACCTGAAGCAATCTGGATCTTACAGCCTGATTCCAGCTGAATTCTTGAGATCTGCTCTCCTCCTTTTCCAATGACTGTGAGCAGGGAGGAGAAGAAAAATGACAGTTTTCAGCTCTTTTGAATTTAGACCGACGCCCTGAGCGGTGACCCAAAAACACTGAGTCGAATGTCAATACTGAGGATTACGTGTCAAATATTAATACAGATGAGAATGAACTGAAAGGCTACTTACTGAATCCCACCATCTTATCAGGCACTTTGAAGTCTTCTGTTGTAAGAGCCCTGTGAGAGATTAGGACACGATCAATATCTAATCATCGACATCTTTAAAAAAAAAAAAAACACAACTGAAAATATTAGGTCTGCAAATAAAGATCATTTTCTGTATTGTTCAATCTGTTGAATTATTTATTTACTTTAGTATTTAGCCGAATAAATGTCAGACAGTGAAACATTTACATTCTCTAGGGCAGCAGTCTCCAACTGTCTTTGCACCACAGACCGGTTTTAAGCAAGAAATTTTTCATTGCACACATAAGAAAATTTAATCGTTTTTTTCTATTTAAAAGTTTCATAAACAAATAAAATTACTTTTTATTGCTAAACATGCCTTTACTTTTTCTTCTGTCTCAGTCTTGAGTCTGTCACACTTTCCAAAGAAGCTCTCCTTTGCTTTTTTTTATTCATTTCGGCGGCAGTTATTCTGACAGCTTCGTTTAATGGCTGAAGACTAACAGACAAACAAGCACAGACGGAACTGACGGGAAGACGAGCTAGTCGGTTTTCAAAATAAAAACACCCTGCAGACTCCGCTGGAAATAAAAACAAACCAATAAAATGTTTTATTCTTTCTGTGCGGCCCGGTGGTCGGGGACCGCTGCCTATGTTGATATATTCAAATCACATGGTCCACTTTTCATTATTTGTTGTCTTTTTTGTTTTTCTATTGTTCTTGGGCCGCTGGGTTGAAAAAAAAAAAAGAAAAAAAGAATATGTCGGCTGTGTTTTCTGAAGTGACAACACTCACGTTTAGTTTAGAGTATTTACTGATATCTAACAATTAGACAGGTTCACTCAGAAAGTGAAATAAATCAGGAATTTAATTTAGTCAAAGCCATTATGAAAAGAAATCACCAGCAAGAACTTGGTGATAACAGAGTAAATTAGCGTGCAAGTATCTCCAATGTCAACTTTGGTCACAAGGATACAGACATAATTTGGATTGTACGGATATAGAGGGAAAAAAAACATGAAAAACTGCCCTCAAACTACTTAACTCAGGCAGTTAAAATGTGAATAATATAGTCAACGTGCATTAATATGAGCAGACTCCTGAGTGTGTTCCGCTCACCTTTGATGTACCATTGCACCGAGATGGTTCCCCACTGAGAAAAAAAGAGGGGAAAGCAATTAACATGTGAGCGATAATCTGAGATCATGGTTTAAAAAAAAACAAAAAAAACACATAATATTTTAAACATCTGCTAAAGCGATAGCCAGCGAGGCAGCAAAATGAGAAAGAATGAGTCAGTGCTGGAAGCGGTGGGAGCAGATGGATATGGTCCTGCCAATCCTTCATGTTTGTGTCTGACCCACAGTGGGGGGCTTTCACCGGCATGGAAATCAGGCCCGCGAGTGTATGAGTGAGTGTTTCAATCAGAGCCGCTCAGAAAGAGAGAGGCAGCAGCCGGGTCAGTGGCTGCTGGTCCTGAATTGAATTTTGACAGGTAGCACCGAGCAAGGGTCCTGCAGGGTCACTGGAGGATGTGCTGCCATGGACGTGAACACCTGAGTTGATATCTCGCGGGTTCAATCAATTTTATGGTTGTTTGCTCTGATTTCACTTCTTCTGGAAAAGCACTGGGGTTAACGCTTGAGAATGGAACAGCTATGAATATAAAAAAGGGACGTGTGCTGACTTTATACAAGGGCGAGACTGGACGATAAATTGGGAATGCCTCGAGTATTTGTACACTGTTTGATAATTAAAGGCTGAGAGCGAGCTGCAGCGTACACAGGTACCAGCTCCCACATGTTTTGGGGACAACCTTGACTGAGGAAAAAACTGAGGACAAATTGTTGTCAACATTCACAGTGCATCCAACAAACATAAACCAGAATTGCATACAATTTTCCTATCCATGCATTCAGGGCTGAACTATCATACAAACAACTGTGACAAGATAAGAGGAAGACAGGATAAATGACTAGTGTTTCCACTTTGTGGATATGAAATGGATCAAGTCCTTGTTTTGTTTGCAAGGCACAGCAGAATAGGATGGCATTTTTTTTCCCTACACTGCAGTGTCGCATACTTAATCCTCCACAAACACACAAATACAAAACCGTGGCTCTCACTTCACAGATTACAGTGTTCTCTCATAGCTCTAATGTACACTGACAGTTTGGCAACATCTACACAGAATCATATGTAACAACTCGTACCAGATGCTCAAGTGGCTAACGAGGGACTGAAAACAAAGTTGTTCACCACTCAGTGAAGGAGCTCGACAGGAGGAAAGAGTTTTAATATCAGTCGATATCCAGTGAGCCGTGACTCGGTTTTCTTCACATTAAAATGTCAAAACTTTACACGTTCCTTGTTCCAGACCTCCGATTCACGGCCAACTATAACGGCAACTAACAATTATTTCAATTTCATTTTAATTATTTTCTCATTTTGATTGTTGATTGACCTGTTGATCAGTTGTTAGGTCTGTTAAAATAAAAGAAGTCAATCAGTGTTTCCCACAGGCCAAGATGACTTTTAAATGTCATGTTTTGTCCATAACCCAAATCTAAAAAATGGATAATATTCAAATTTATGAGGCAACAATAAGAGAGCTTTTTTCTTCTTAAAAAGCTCTGATTGATTATCAAAATAGTTGTCCACTGATTGATTTCATAGTGCCCAACTGATCGATTAATCGTTGCAGCCCGACTGCCCACATGCCAATTTATTTTATAATTAGTCTGATGCTGCATTCACTGGATGCTTTCAGAATTAGAAGAATAACCAATTAACTAAAGCTTTGAAGCAATGATTGAGAGTACAGATGTCTTGTTCTGTTGCCAGAGCCTCAAAAATATTGAAAGAAAATGACCACAATGTAAATCGACACCCTTCTTTAATCATTATTAAAAAATTAAACTGAAGTTTTTTTGGCACTTCATAGACAGACATTAATCAAGAAGCAATTAGGGGGGAAAAAAAAGAAAAAAAGATCACAGCTACATGGCATGAACTGCAACTGTTTGGCCACCGGGGCACTCACAATCAATAAAAACAGCGATTAACTGCTTCTAACAACCACTGCTGCGGCTTCTTTGTCAGCTTAAAAAATGCTGGAAGGAGAGACGTGTCACTCACTCCTGATTGGATAATGAAGAGACACACATTCTGTCATTGCAGCCTGATTGTGGTGGATGGAGCAAAACATGACAGAAAGCTGTAGAGATAACAACTTTCTTCTTTCTACGGTGACACTGATGAACATTTAGAGCTCTTGTGAAGCAGCATAATGTGCTAAATGGGATGTCCATGTGGCTAAAAAAAAGCCACAGAAAAGAGGCTGTGCAATAAAATCTAATATCACAGTGGTGTGTGTGTATGTGTGTGTGTGTGTGTGTGTGTGTGTACTCTAAGGGCTTACCTCCATTGTCTAGCGAACGTTTTTGCCCTCCAAAGCCATAGAGGGAGGGGTCTAAGACTGGAGACGAACTGTTCAGGTTGGGCATCTGGTCTCCTCCCATCTTGGCTGCCATCTGGAGAGACACACACACAACACAGAAGGACAGATGGAATAAAGGTGAAAAGTGGATAAGTGCTAAAAATTCTTTGAACATTTGCCGTTTCCGTTGCGAGACATAATCTCGGACAACAACTCCGCGCGAAAGTGTGACGCTTTCTCTCTTTTTTCGTCCTGCTTGCTTAAAAGCATCGAGTTTGCAGTGAAGTTCAGCCTCGACAAAGCCATCTGCTGTGCAGGGTGTCATCATTCTGACAGCACATGAAAACTGCACTCGGTACGATATTACAGCAGCTTGAGGCAGTCTGCTACAGTTCCTGTTGAGACTACTGATGGCGATGATTCCCTTGAAACATCTGACTTAACTTTTTTTCATGCTTTCACTGACAAACGATACAGATCACAGTCCATATAAAAACATCTCAACTAACTGACCTGTCCAGATTTGTCAAAACATTAGTTTCCTGAAAGTTACAACAGGTATGACATCGACTGAAAACGGATAAAAAAAATACTTTTCCAACTCCATATTCAAATCTGACGTGTTGTAGTAGTAGGAGGGTATGTAAATGAGCAAAGGTGGACAGAAGGTAAACAACAATACAACAAAATATAACTTCATATAAACTTTTTTTTGTTATTGAACAGACATATTTTTGGATGAATAAGTGCCTGAACATCAGTGAGTTGCAGAGTGACTAAAAGTACAACTGAGTAAACAACAACAAAAAGCACACTACACAACAATTGCTAACATAAATTCTACATTTTACATTTAGTTTTGTTCGAACTAAAACCAAAACGGTGCCAATTCAGTTTTATGGTGATGATAGCGTCACTGCTTATTATCTTTTCAGCAATGTATTTAACTAACTAGATTAGCATAAAGATGCTGCTTGACTCCGCACCACCGTCTACCGAGCTATGATGTGTACTCTGCTACATGTGCTGCGGACAGTGCCGAAAGTATCGTCAAGGATGGAGTTGGAGCGCTGTGCTTAAATTCCAGCAAGCACCTCCTTTCTGCATTATGTTATGTGCTATAAAAAGAAGGTTTTTTTTATATTAGTGCATCTCAGACAACACACCTATATATAAACATACACATTTAAATGATCAGGCCCAAGTAATGATCAGCGGCCTGTACATTTCTCCTCAGACAGTTCTGTTCATCTTTTTGAGCGTTCAAACCCATCCACACAACTACAAGGAGAGTGCAGCTATTTGCATTCTAGCTTAGGTATAAACTAATCCGTCTCTACTTTCAAAATGAGTCACTTGTCGATCTAAAGTAGATGCTCACGTTCCGCGATGATGGACATTTAAATCTTCAGTTACGCTGCATGAGAGCACCAACAGCATTTTCCATTCCCCATTAATCTGCCATCTCTCCTTCCACACAAAGTATAGCATTTCAGAAAATTACACTAAATTGACATCTGTGCCTGACTGGAATTTTTTTTTTTTTTTTTTTTTCACAATATGAAAATATAGTGATGGAAATTAGAGTCTCCCATCACCTTCAGGGATGATTATCTACTTCAGAGCCCACCAGTGGAAGCGAGAGGGGTGCGATGGAAATAAGCAGGCATAAAAGGAAGCAGGTGTGGAGTTGCTGTTTCCATGACATCGCCGCAGCTATGTGCATGTCAAGCAACACGAAAAAAAGCATCGAAGACAAAGTCAACGTTTAAGAAAAATGCTTAATGTGAAATCAGCGCCTCTGAGTTTTGATTCACTACAGGTATCTGACAAGTATCTCCTAAAACACCTGGCTGATGAAATCCTCACAGTACGGAGGTAGGCTGTCACGGCTCTGACAGTATTGATGCACTTAGTTTAGTTCCACCAGTTTGCTCAGAAAATAACTAATCCTGTTACATCAATTTTCAAGTCAAGTCAAAGTCGCTACGGTGTTCAAGCAAGCGTTGCCTCACAGACGCGGCTCAGTGTGAAGAAGACGGAAAAGCACAATCACATTAATCCAGTTACACTTTAAAGCACGTCTTTTTCTATCTGCTTAAGGCCTCCGTTGTCACTAAAACTGATGTTCTCCCTCGCTCAAAAGCTGAGGTTTTCAGAAGCAATGTCCACAATGGATAAGTGAAACTGCCAATGTTGTGTTTTAGTAGGCAGGCGCTTTAACTTTTGCCCCTCTGGAGCAAACACGCTTAATGTCAACATGGGCAAACTGGCAGCAGCGTATCATTATCATTACATTACTTCACTTCTTTGCAGGACAACATGACGATTACAAAACAAGGATTTTATCAGCACAGCAGCTTAAAAGCTCGTCAACATTAACTGTAAGACAATTAAAACACAATTTCAGATATTTTTGTGACAACTAAACTGTAAAAAATATGTACACAAGAACTACTACACTGTGAAATCAGGTGCTTTAAAGATGATCTTAGAAAGGTGGAAAAAACTTGCAGAGAAAAAGACATTTTCCATCTTCCTATTTCGTTGTTCCACTGTGAGCTGAGGTATCTGTAAAAATGAGGTGGAAAGGAAATGCAGGCCCACGGTAATGTGATGATTTAAGCCTTTGTCATGATGACTTGCGGTTGTTGTGGGTCTGTAACATTTCTTTTTTTTTTTAAATCTCTCAACTTCATTGCAGTGGGTAAATGAGAGTTTACAGTCAAGCAGTCTGAGGGATTTTGTTGGAAACTGTCTGATCCAAACGGTCCAGCAGCAGAATGCCCTCGGTGTTAACTTGGGCCGCTAAGTAAACACGACTGTGGGCTGGACTGGCCCCCCAAGACGGTTTCACTTCTTGAATGCAAGGTCTTATACAGTAAGACCTAAACATTTTCTCAAATGTCAAATGAGATCGCAAGATTTGTTCTCAAATCTAGATTTATGGTCCACAAACACCAAATCCACGAGCCCTATGGTATGACAGATCCATACTGTTCATGGTTCTACTCAGTGATTTTTGTTGATTTGACAAGAGCTGGTGGGTTGTCTGTTTGTTATCGGTTCGTGAGGGTCAGTGTTAATGATTATATTCAGGATCAAGATGGGTACAATTAGCGACACTGAGACACTGGCAGATGAGAGGTGAATTAGACAAGGGATTTAATGGACCTGAAACATGATTGTGGGTATTCCCTTTGTTTGACTGTTTAATAAAAACAACAACAACAACAAGCTGTTAACATGAAATTCACCAAAAAGCAATTTCAGCTCATGCAGCTTTCAGTGTCAGTGGCTTTCAGAGGCCGGCCCTCGAGCAGGAAGAAGCAAGTAACTGATACAAGTGTGGCTGTGGTCACGTCACACACAACAATGTAAAGAACTACTAGAACATGGCCTCCACTTCCTACATCTCAGGCTAATGCCACATCAGTGTCATATGATACACTGAAAACCCACTGGACGACTTCTCCTTTCTACAGAGTACGCGGTGCCACTCACATGTCAGGTGCAGGCCCAGACCCACAAGTTAACATCAGCCATAAACGCAGCGTGCCAGGTATAACAAGCTTTTTATACAGGTTCATTTATGATTTATTGTGATGATTATCGTTGACTTTGAACACCAGTGTCTGTGGCTCTTTGCAATTATTGACAGAGAAGTGAAACTGAAGCCCGTACAGACAAAACTTTCAAATCATACTTTGTTATGCAGCCAACTGTTCCTGCTCTTGTGGCAGGATCTTATTTCAGTGAAAGAGTTTCAGTGAACAAGATGTAAGCAGACACACAAACAAGTGGAGGACAGGAGGTTAACTTAGAGGCTTTATAGGCACCATGGCAGCAGCTGTTGGGACAGTAGAATATACCTGTTGTGTTATTTGCTTATTTTTAGTCTAAATCATAGTGTATTTGAAGTTACAGAAAATTAGCACCGCACAACAGTGGGAACAACTGACACTGTGGTAATTGGTTTTTCTCCAGTACTTATAGCAATATGGGAAAAAAAATAAATCACTGAATGACCCAAATAAGTCAACTTGGAAAGAATTAATTGTTCCAAAATAATCGGGGTGATTTTGAAGGGGAGCGTAGTTGCAACGAAAATGGAACGTAATTTTAAGAAAGTGGGAAAACACGGTTTAAAAGTCAATGTAACACTGGCAAAGGTGTCAAAAATGTTTTGTGCATTGTACGACATTCCGATCTGCCTTTGCACTTGTCATACAGAGATTTGTGATACTGATTTAGATGTTGAAATAATTCGTCGCGCCGCCTCGTGTAGCTGCAACAACTGCAAGGCGCTGCTGACAGAGTACCTGTTTCTGGTCAAACTCGTTCTGTAGCCCAAAATATTTCCATTCAACTGACTAAGGCTGCATGACTAATGCTAAATGCTAATCACCACTATACTGATCAATACTAAGATCTCGATTATCCTGAATTTAGTGCGTCTTCGCGAGGCACCCAAAACACCTCACTTCCTGCACACCTGCTTACAGACAGATGCCACAATTTACCAAAACAACTCGCATGCAGGCTATTGAAGAAGCTAGCTATGTGGCTGTGCACAGAGAACCCTCTTGTCTTCACTCAGTCGCTGCAGCAGCTCAAGACAGGTGGGCGACTAAAAATTATTTAGAAAAGAGAGAAATAATAATGTCAGATTTTCCCAAGTCGAAACCAAGCTCCCTGCTCGGCTCAAAAACTGCACATCACACCCTGATAATGGAACACCTTATTCCATTAGCCCGCAACTGCCTGGGCCTGTCTCCACCTCCGTCCACACCTGCAAACACCCACCTCCACCTGAGAGACACACTACTGGCAGCCTGATGAGCCTGTTGGGATGCCATGTGAGCCATCTACTGTGAACCTTAACCTCGCCCAATGTGCAGGACCGTCACCGTACTCATTCTCTGTATTGCTCTGGAATTTCTTGATTTATCTGTATAACAAATGTCTAAATTTATTTATATGCATTTGTTTTTCATTGCTGTGTTAACATACAAATTATTACCTGTGTACCTTAATAAATAAGCTAAAGTGGTTCAACTCAAAATAAACCTTTATTTTCCCCTCCGCCCTTTGGTAAAACAGGTCATTTAAAAATGATTAATTACAGTTAAACTTCAACTATATCGCCTAGCCCTACAGGAAAGTTAACAATTTTGCAAGCTATTTTAGCCCATCAGACACAATTTAAAGGTTTAAAACATGCAAGTTGACAAAGCCACACAGGCGGAAGCTAAAGCAGTAGCAGCTATATGACTAAAGTCCAATTTACATATTAGCAACTGTTGTCAGTGATGTACTTATCCTCCACAGCAAACACACACACAGCTCTACTTTTGACCAGCTTAATGGCAGCCCTTAAGCATAGTGACATGTCTGCAGGGGCCACAACGTGACACTGAACATGGCCACTCACAGAAAGGTGGCAGTGAAATGCTGATGGTGGTTTATTGACATGTATTTTTCAGGTGTTTATCAGGCAGCAATGGAAAAACCCAAGAGTGCTCGACAGGAGGAGTGGAAAGGGGGGCTTATTTCAACAGATGACGTTACATTACATGGCCTAACTCCAACGCTGCCTGCGAGGACACACAGTACCACACACACGCTAGCTTAGCTAGCAGCAGCTACACTCACTAACTAGTTGTTGTTGTTCTGTGCGACAGACGCCACATGTTTCATACGCGAGCTTATGATCGAGTCGAGGAGGGGGGAATTAGGTGGTTTAAACGTTAGCAGCGCGTGCGTTTGCTCCTAAGCTCTCCGGGTGTCTCTTTAACTGGGGCAACAACCAGTTACACTGAAGCTAACTTGGGACTTCAAACTAGCCAGCTAGCTTGTGGACAGCGTGTCAGACAGTTGAGCTGCTCAGACTTCGTGTCCAAAGTAAATGTTAGCTCCAGTCACGTTGTGGGTCAACCTGCGGGGCATCCAACTTGTGGTAGTAAGTCAGCAAGCTAAGCTAACTGCAACTTCTGTGAGTTGACAACAGGTTGCAGTGTATCGACTTAACTTACTAAAGTAGCACAAACTTCGACACCATACGAGGCCTCCGCGTCTTGCGTCAGACATGACATGTGTGGCCGTTTGGACAGTTCTGACACGGACTTAACGCGTCTTCTGTCCACTGCAAACTCTAATCTGTCCGCTCAGCTATGCTGTCTCGGGCTATTTAATGTTAGCATGCTAGCTGCATGAGGAGTGTTTATAGTAGGGGGTCCGGCTGCCCCGACCAAAGTCCCGGCCTGCTTCGCATGCAGACACGCTGTTTGTGGTCCGAAAGCACCGCACTCGTGTTCGCTGAAGAGCGTTTTACCTGTCGGACCCGGCGTATCGTGTCTGCGAAGTCATCTTTCGTTCCGGGCTGAGCCACCGAGGCCTGTCCCTGAACCAGCTCCGCCATCATCATCATCCGCCTCGGCAGCTGAGAGCCACACTTAAAAAAAGAGCAGCACACGTGCCAAGCCGAAGCTCCGCGAGCCGCAGGATCTCGCGAGTTGATGGAAGAACTCACATGTCGCGTTGAACAACAGGAACCAGAAGAAGAGCAGCACCGTGACTGAGGAGCTGTTGCATGTACAGTGTATGTGAAGAACAGCATGGCGGGTAAACGTGCTGGAGTGGACAAATGTATGTTAAAAAATATATAGTTAATTAGCATCAAAAGAAAAAAAACAGTCAAGCTGCAATCACTATAGCTGCAACATACATGTTAAATGACAAAGAACATTATATAAAAGTAATAGATTATTGCCAACTAATATTTGTATAAATATATATAGAGAGACAGTTTCTGGAGAAAAAATGTGTTTAAATAAAGATGTAGGAATTTAGATTTATTACACAGAACTGAACAGAGATTTATGGACTAGAGAATGTGTTTTTTTAATATATGCAGACGGAGATAATAACTGTAAGTAGTCATTAATTATCTCTGCTTTAAAAGAAGAAGTTTCTGGGACGAACACTTTCTGTTGATGTGATAATGACAATAAAAGGGCGCTGCAGCATTTTACAGCTTTTTCTTGGCTGTTTTGGATGAAATAAATGAAGGCACATTATCTTTCTTCTCATACACACACACAATATCCATATTATATGTAAACAAGAAGCATGCTTAAATGAACACATTTGGAATGTCTAAGTAAATCATACTGGACTACAACTTTGGTTTTAATAAAGAAAGAAAGAAAGAAAGAAAGAAGTCCCTGTTACTAACACAGCATTTACTTTGTTTTCATATTTTTTTACTTTAAGTGTTAGATAACACGTATAGAAATGGTTTTTCATTTGTTTTTGTTTTTTTAGATGGCTTCATTATTGCAGATTTTTTTTTAAAATGATGGGTCTAGGACAAAAGTCACAACTTTGCTATAATTTTATTATCATTAATATTTAAATTCCTGACATAAAGATAATGCAAAATCACCAATCAGCACAGATAGTTAGCCAGAAATGTAAGCTAGCTAGCTAGTGCTACAGCAGGCTAACAATGCTGTTTGTTTGCTTGTTTTGTTTACTGCTGGTTAGCTATTATATTATTTTATAATATGATGGTATACATATTTTGTCAGAAATCTAAGACAGAGTATAAAAAATTACTGACATGCATAGAGGGTGTTTCTTTAAAAGGGAAGACGAGATAAGCAGACTCAATAAAAATGTTTGCTGATTCATTTCCTTTAATTAGACCAATCAAGTAATAAAGTAGTCATTCAGCTTTGATAAATAGCCTGTATAAATTTAAACATATACACATCAGTATGGTGTAATGGAATACAACTCAGGCTGAATCAGCTCTTCTTTAACTCGATTTCAGCAAAAGCTGTGCTTTATAACCCTTATTGCAATATTTACAGACATACATGAGCTATGATGAAAAATATACTGATCTCAATCTTTGTATGTGTAAAATAATTGATAAGTGAAGTTGATTTAGATATAATTAGGCCTTTACTACACTGGTTGCGTTCCCTTACTGAAGTACTGTGAACTTGTGGGACAAAACAAAACAAAACAAAACATCAGTAAATGCAGAATTCCACTTTAATTCCATTTTCCTCACTAACTAAACTAACTTTATTTCTGGATTTATTGGTGGTCCGTATAATAAGTGCTTGAGCAGAAAAAAACAAAGAATCCTAACAGACAGCTTGTGCTACAGGTCTGGGTTTTTGCTAAATATAGTTCTAGTATTTCAATGTCAGAATGAAAAAAAAATCCCATCTGACACAACAAATTGAAAACTGAGGTTTACT